GCTTCTGCGGTAGCGGTTGGTGGTTTGGAATCGGGAGGAGCTTCTGTGCGCTTCAGTGATGCATCCTTTGTTGGTGGCGGGGCACCTCACAGCCTCTGCTGAGTGTATTTCACCCCGACCCGCGGCCTTTTGACAGGCGTGCTATTCAGAGTCGATGGGGAGGTATAAGAAGGCATGGAGCTGCCTTCATCGTCGTCAGGAACAAGAACCAGTGATGGGTGCGGCTCATAAGCACTTGGTGAATTGGGCGGCTCGAATGGGTACAAATAGCCGACACTTCGCAAGGGCGAGGCATCTCGAGGAGGCTGTGCGATGGGAACAATGTAGTTCTCTGATAGCATGGGTAGAACAATAAGAACTAAGTGCCCGTTTTTTGGGCCCCCAAGTGGTTCCTGCTCTTGCTCGGCTGGCATGACTATCTGGTGCTACTCTGTGAGATTTCAGGGAAGTGCAAGAGAGAGGCGATGAAGATGGGTTCCCTTTGGAAAGGAAGGACACCCTGCAAACCGCGCATAGCTGTCTATGATGCGAGGCGCTGCATGGCAGATATTGTACGTGATGGCGTGGCAACTGCAGCGCTGGGCAAGAGGAGCCACGCATCGCGGCAGAATTGCCATGCTGTCGCAAAAACAACCACACTTGGCAGGGGACTATGAGCTGTATTAGCAGCATACTCGGGTGCGCTGGCAGGACTCTAGACAAACACACCAATGGGAGAAAATCTCGTGTCGCTGTCAGGGTTGGCATTTTCCCACCTCAGGGCGGTTTTGACAAAATGGGGGAGAGGCACCGCGTCACATGTGCAGTGTATGTGTAGTGTAGCAAAATCCTTGCTTTCGAGGATTCGGTATTAGGGTAAGTGGGGTGGAACACTGATGATGTCAGTGGATACAAACGCAAACTCAGAATCTATAAGGGTAAAAAAAAAAAAAAAACAATCACTTCTTGAGTCAGGGTTTAAAGCCTAGGAGGTTGACTGGGTCAGGGTAAGCAAAAAAAAAGCGGTCGCCAGTCAGGGCAATCAGGGTATTTTACCTTGACATTTTGGGGCATGTGTTTTACCACCCTTCTTCCCGCCGCTTTTTCAGCTCTCGTGATGTCACCTTCGACGAGTTTGTCTGCTTCTACGCTCGCTTTCCCCACAAAGGTACCCCGGTTTTCCCCCCTCCCCTGTTCCTCATTTGTGCCTTTTCCTATAGTCTCTCGTGTCATTTCCTCCCTAGTCACTGACCCTACGGCTCCTCTTTCATCTGCCTCCTCTCTTGTCGCTGATGTCACAAACTTTGTTTCCACCCTCCGCCTTTCACTACGTCACTCAGTTAGTCTCTGACACTTCCCGTCCTTAGTACGTCGGGGGTGAGCTTGCTCTTAGATGTGACGTCCTAGAGGACAGGCAGTTTGAGCTAGCTTTCATTCCGGCTGCTGCCCCTCATCTCTGTGCCATGCTGTTAGCTTATGAGGGTGACCCAGGAGCTTTTGACATCCCGACCCTTCACACTTACACTGAGGCGATCTTGGGGCAGTGGGTCTCTCGCTGGATAGAAGCCATGGATGGAGAGATGACAACTTGGAGGTCCATAGGCACTTACGCCGATGTTGTTTTGCCTCATGGGCGAACATAGTTGACGGCATGTGGATCTTCTATGTGAAGCGACCACCTGGATCGCCGTCTGTCTTCAAGGCGCGTTACGTGGCGAAGGCTTCAGTCAGCGAGAGAGGGTAGACTTCTCTAAATATTCCCCCCCACCCCGATGATGATCAGTCTTTAGATGTGCTTGTATATATGGGCTAGAAAGGGCCAAAATTTTGGCAGCACTGTCCAAGGTGCACTGGAGATCCCTGATTGATCCTAGGGAAGGGTTACAGGCACGTTGGCCTGGTTGGTTATGGGGGCACTCACCCGCAACACAAACAAGCCCTTTTATCCCAGCGGTTAGTGGCTGGGATTCTGACAAGCACAACCATTTGTACTTCTGTGTCTTGTACCCTTGTTCCCAGTACAATCATTTCTCTTCTCTCTCTCTCAAGCGGTCATTGTATTGATATAGGCGGTCTTCTCTCTCTCTCTCTCTCTCTCTCTCTCTCTCTCTCTCTCTCTCTCTCTCTCTCTCTCTATTTCTCTCTCTCTCTCTCTTACACTCACACACATATACACATTCACACACTCTCTCTCTCACACACACACACACTCATACATACGCACGCATGCGCACGCACATACGCGTGCGCGCGTACACACACACACACACACACACACATACACACACATATGCATACACATACGCACACACAAACACGCACGCACGCACACACGTACACGCATATATAGACACATACCCACATACCCACACACACACACACACACACATACAGATACACAGACACATAGACACGCGTGCGCGCACACAGACGCAGATGCACACACATACACGCATATATAGACACATACCCACATACCCACACACACACACACACATGCAGATACACAGACACATAGATACGCGTGCGCGCACACAGACGCAGATGCACACACACACACACAGACAAACACACACACACACACACATACACACACACACATACACACACATAATGCACACATACACACACGCACATACACACACACATGCACGCGCACGCAAACGCAGACGCACTCACACACACAAATGCGAACACACATACACACACATACACACATACACACATGCACGTGCGCGTGCACGTGTGCACACATATACATACACACACACACATACGCACACACGCATACACACACACACACATACGCACACACGCATACACACACATACATACACACACACACACACACAAATACACGTACACACGCATGCACGCACACAGACACAGAAAGAGAGAGACACACACTCACACATACATACACACACACACACACACACATATACACTGACCAGGCCTCTCGATATCAGGGTAAAACACCCTTATGGCCCTTGCTATAAGGGTGGGTTTAGGTGATCACCCTTGTTTTTAAAACTTGTTTTATGAGGCACCCTTAGCCGAAAAAGTGTTCATTTTGTTAACACTGATTTTCAAGACAGGCCTGGTGTACTCGCCCTGATGACAAAGACTAGTGTCGCGTACCACCCTGATGCGATTTCACGCGGCGGGGTGGGTTGGGGGGGGGGGGGGGGGGGGGGTACTGACGAGATTCTGCCGTGATTAGCGGCGTTTTGCCTGAGTCAGCAGATGTGCGCGTCGCCTTGACGGCTCGCGTCGCCACTGCCACAGGCTCGTCAACTGTACCTGGCTCACCTGCAATCTTCCCAGCTGGCAATGCCGCGCATCGCCACACACACCTGCTTTGTGCAGGAGGTGTGTCCAGTATGGAAGCTTCTTCTTCCCTCCCCAGCAGGCCCCCACCCACCGACCAGTCTCTCCCACGCACCCAACCCAGTCCTCCTCGTCTCATTTCTCAATTCTGCCTCCTCGCTATCTCGTCTGGTCTAGGGTTTGCACACCACCCCACCACCACGCTCTCCCAATAGCTAGCGTAGGCCCAGCTCCTGCAACCACCCCTCTGGCCCTCGCCATGGCTGCTGACGAAACCACCGATGGTGACGACGAGGCACGCCGTGAACTCCAAAAATCACCCCCGCGAACGGGCCTCAGCTTTCTACGAACCCCCGCTAAGAAGCTGTCAGATCCGGAGCCCGTAGTTGCTTCAACCGAGGACGAAACCCGCGCGGATGAATCAGGGCGTGACCTGCGCTCACCTGAAGTTTGCACTACCACGGCGGAACCCTCACCTCCAGAAGCGACGGCTCCTGAAACGGAGATAGGCGATGCGGCTGGCGAATCTGCGAACAAGAAGCGCAAAGAGTCAAGCGGTGACAGTGCTAAGCAGTGGTGGCGACAACCGAAGCCCTCTGTGAAGCGGGCGGCACGTCCAATTCGACGAGTGGAGGACGAGGGAAGTGATGACGAGGAGGAAGAAGACGGCCTGCCGACTGTCGAAGAGATGGCACGTGACCCCGAGATCGCTTTCGCTAAAGCGCATAAGCGATTTAAGACTTCATGGGAGTCTTTGTTTCCGTGGCTAATTTTAACTCGTGATGACGTTGGCTTCCCCATTTTGAGATGCAACACGTGCTTGGAACATGGAGCTGAAGGCGCGAAAACGGCTTACGGCAAGGGAGGCAGTGGAGGGCGTGACATGCAGAAGGGGAGCATCCGGACGCACCAGCGCTCCACCGCACACCAGGACGCACACGCCGAGATGAAGTCGAAGGAGAGCCGGAAGCTTCGTCAAACGCTGCTGAGCGAGTTCGAGGGGTTGGATCGCAGCACTCTTCACATCATCACCGCTCTCAAGACTACCGTATACATCTGCAAGTCGGAGGCGCCAATCACCTCCTACGTGGGCACCATCAAGTTCATGGATGAGCTCGGAGTCCCGAACCTTCCCTTGGATTCCAAGGGAAACTACTTTTCGGAGTAAGTTTCGGGGTACTTGGTGTCGTTGTACTTGTTCCGTTACAACTGCCTTGATTGATCACGTGCTAACCTCTGTGCTTGTATCATGCAGGTACGGTTTCGGGGAGCTGCTAGATGCTGCAGCGAAGTACATGCGGCAAGAGCAACTGAAGCAGATCGAGGCGAGCCCGTACATCTCCATTCAGCTCGATGAGAGTACTGACAAGGCGCGCGGCAAGCACATGATCGTCTACGTCCACTTCATGAAGGATGGAGTGAGCGTCTGCGAGTTCCTCACGCTGCTGACAGTTGACAAGTGTGACGCGGCAAGTCTAGTCGACGTGCTACTGACCCACCTTGACGCCGTGGGCATTGACTTGTCCAAGATTGTTGGAATCAGCACCGACGGCGCCAGAGTAATGACGGGCACCAACAATGGTGTTGTGGCACGACTCCGGCAGCGGAATCCCTATCTCGTGTCGTGCCACTGCATCGCACATCGGTAAGTCCGTCATTGTTACTGGCTTTATGGCAGGTGCGTGTTGATCATGTACTGCCCACTCACTTCAATCGCTGGCATCCTGCGTTCTACCTTGAGCACGGAGGCGTTGGCCGCGAAGGATGCCACTGAGAAGGTGACGGAGTTCAACATCATAGACCAGGCGGTGCGCAACGTGGCGGAGCAGCTTTCTAGGTCGAGCAACTGGCACCGGCGATTCGAGCACCTTCAGGAGTACATTTGCGAAACCAACCTGGAGCTGCAGGGGATCCACGACGTGCGATGGCTCTCTAGAGGAGAGGCAGTCAAGCGGTTCGCCAAGGTTCTGCCGGCGACAATCGTCCTGCTGCACGATTTCAAGCACGCGCTATGCGAAACGGTCACCTCTTTCAAATTCCACTTCATGCTTTTCTTCTTTGCAGACATTCTTGCCGTGCTCAACGAGCTCAACACCAAGTTCCAGAAGCAGCAGGTGACATGTGGAGTGCCTTCGTTGTACATATAGGCGTTTGTTTCACTGCCATGTTCCCGGTTGTTGTGCGCCGTTCTGACCCATTGTACATCAACCTCTGGCATCAACTATTCATCCCACGCCCACTCACAGGTTGACATCACTGTGGTCGCGGGGGAGGTGTCACTCGCTTGCCGGACGATCGATGTGCGTTACGTGGACTGCGAGGATCGTTTTGGCAACGATCAGTCGCCCCTGCTCTGCGCGTTCCTGAAGAAACACGGCAACCCCGAGCACCGCGAAGTCACTGTCAAAGGCGTGGACCAGAACGGCGAAGCTGCAGAGCACGAGTTCGTGCTTCACGAGCGCAAGATCCCAGGCCATAAGACTGGCGGGGACTACTACTCCTGCAAGGCGGTGTGCCAGGAGTTTGCGAGGGTCTGCGTTGCGCGACTGGAGTTCCGCCTGGAAGACCTCAAGAACCTGGCCGGCTCCAAGCTTTTCCGGCCATCGTGCTATCCCGACGACAACGCGCAGCGGATGAAGAAGTGCCGCGAGTGGTTGGGCATGCTAGACCACATGTTTCACCACCGCCTCTTTGGTACGCCACCTGGTTGTGCCTGCAATGTGCTGTCTGTTGTGTGAGTGTGTGTACCTTGGTGTGCTGTTAAACACCTCCTATACGCCCCGATCGCCCCTCTCACTGCTCTGCTCTCCCATCCTGGCAGGTGTGTGCTTCAAGGTGTGCGAGAGGGAGCTACCGTTGTTTCTCCACACCATGGATACCAACCACGGGAACATGAGCTTCCACAAGTCGCTCTCGCTCATGCTCCAGTCAACTGACTACGTGGGAGCGTACCCGAACCTTGTGCAGCTGTGGCAGGCCGTAGCTGTGCTCCCCCTCAGCACGGTGGAGTGCGAGCGTGGCTTCAGTCGCCAGAACCGTATCAAGACGTGGAAGCGGACCTGCCTGGGCGACGCCAAACTGGGCGATCTGATGACTGCAGCTCTCCTGCCCAGTGATGGTCTGAACTGGGTGAATGTGGTAGCCGTGTTCAATGCTAGGAAGAAGCGCCGTCCTGCCCAGGAGTTTCTGTATTGACTTGTGCTGCTCTGCTCCCTGCTAGGAGTATTCTGCTGGAACCGGACCAGGTCAGACCATCCCATATGTAGGTCGTGTTGTTGTTCTAGTTCTAGTCATATATTTTATTGTTCTTTGCACGTCATGTCAACCTAAACATTAAGCGTTGGTTTAAAAAAAATGGTACAACTAACCGAGGTCCACAGTACACTGACGAGCACGAGTAACAATGCAGCCAACACTGATACACAAGACTGACATGGCTGCCCCACCCTTACTGAAAGACCAGCTTTGGCAACCTGCCCTTTCGACTAAGAGTGCTTCCAAACCTATCCAGAGGCCTGACACTGACATATACACACACTCATACACACACGCACGCACGTACGCGCACACACACAAACACACCTTCATTTCCCCTCCACCAACCTCTACCTGAGATTAAAATGGAGAACAGCTGAAAAATGTGTTTGAATACCTTAGAAACATGGTAACTCAATTGTTGGTGGGTTCACTCTAAAGTACAAGTCTAGAAGTATAGGTTTAGAGGAATATTGATATAGTACATAGTGTGAAGTCGCATGTACAAATTTTCCCTCCCCAGCCTCCCGCCAGCAACTCCCAGCCCAAACTTGATTTGAACTGCTGCTGCTGCCCCACAGATCCCCCGAGGCACTCGCGCATGACCGTTTGTTCCTCCATCCCGATGGATGTCCCTTATTATCCTTGATCGCTTCACCCTGAAGTCCCTAGCTGATTCAGCTGGAAATACCTCGTACGCCTGTCGTGGCTTGAAGAGGGAGGCATCTGCACGCACCAAGTTACGCGATTTGTGCTTCCTCATTTAGTATTGACCGAAATATAGTTCTGCCCGTGTACTTGTTTTCCAGATCGCCGATTTCCGACTTCGTTAACACATATAGTGGTGAGAGTTGTGGAAGGAAAGGAATTCGTTGATCGATTCTTCATGGCGGATGTTACGTCAACGAACTCGCAGAAATCCAAGGCGGAAAGTGACGAGATTTCCAGCCTTTTCAATATGGAGTCTGTTCCTCTGGAAACAGCTGGCATAGTGGCTGGAGGCCCTCCACCAGATCCGAGCGGAAAGTCTGAAACAGTGGTCCCGCTTCTCCCAGTTAGCAGCGCGCCGAGTAACACCGCGGATCCGAGCACTCCGACGTCTGCCGTCGTCACCATGGCGACTTCTGAAGGCCCGCCAGTTTATAACACTCTTAATGGTAGGTGATGTATCCTACTTACCCACAAAACGTCGGTATTTTCGGGACTACGGCGACCGATTGTGCCGACTGATATGTATTACGTGTCTGAATTCGTTGGGATTTGGCGTTCAGTCGGAAATGCTGAGATGCGGTTTTTGATTGGTTTCTGCAGAACCCGTTATTGTCACCTTGAAACGAGACGTGTGGCGTGTGATACACAATCTCCGGAACGTGGTGTTGCCGATGGGACGAGGCGAAGGGGCTCACAGCTCCATCCGTGACTGGGACTTGTGGGGTCCCTTCTTCTTCATCATCTTCCTCGCCTTCATCCTCTCATCCTCAGCCTCGGAGAACAAGGTACGGGATCTGGCTTGTTCAGGCTTGAGGATTCAAAAAGTTTAGATAACCGCCATGTTCTCCACCCCCTCCCCCTCCCCGTTCCCCTCACCCTTCCTCAGATAGCTCCCAATCCCATCTCTTATGTGAATTTAGAATGTAGAATGCAGTGTGGGCGCCAGAATGGCCAGGAACAATTGTATAATCAAGAAGCATCGAATATGCAGTTTCGCAATGGGTGGGACTTTGAAAAGAGGGTAACCTTGGGAGTATGGAGAGACTTGTAGGTCCATGCTTGATAGGTCATACCAGGAGTGGGTTCTCCTTCAGGTGGTCGGGGACTAACGTACATAAAAGTGACCAATACATTATTTCATGTGACTTCTCTTTCTGTTGCAGTCCAAAGTCTTTGCAGTGGTCTTCGGTGTCCTCTCCTCAGGGGCAATCATCCTCACTCTTAATGTGCTCCTTCTGGTATGCTCCTCTCCCTTTTTGTCTAGAACAATCTGTGTGCTGTGATTTTCTCTTGGGTGCTGTATTGTTTTTATGTGTGCGATGAATCTGTTGCAATAGCTCATTCCTTTGAACCCACTGGTTGCATTGCTGCTAGTCATACCTTAATCCAAGTATTATCATTTCTGTTCATTGGGGGGTGCTCTGCAGGGAGGGAGGATCATCTTCTTTCAGAGTCTCAGTGTGCTTGGGTACTGCCTCTTTCCACTTGACATTGGAGCCTTTGTTTGCCTATTTATCTACAGCAAGTGGATTAGATTTGCAGTTGTTGCAGCCACCCTCGTGTGGAGCTCATCTGCAGCCTACCCATTTGTGTCAGGCGCTGTGCCAGAAGCTAGAAAGTTTCTAGCCGTATACCCAGTGTTCCTCCTGTACATTTCTGTAGCCTTCCTGGTTCTAGCGAATGATTAGGATAAGTGATTGCTCTAATGTAGTGGGCAGATAACTTGCATCTGCCATATTTTGTCCTATGCATGTGTTGTCCTTTCATCTCTTTTAGAGGGGTGAGCTCTATTGTCCTTTTTTTAACTCCATTACAGTCTTTTCTCGTGGTATCTTTCTCTCATTCAAATAAAAACCTAATTGTCGCACTTGTTTCGAGTTTCCGCCTTTTACCGGGTATGACCAAACATTTTTTCCCCAACCAACATTTCTGGCTTAGAGGCTTTTCCTCAACTCCAACACGACAGATGCATGTTTGACGCATGGCGAGTTTCAGCACGGTCAGTTGCTTCTTCTCTTGTCGCTTCATGAAAGCCTTCGCGCTCTCTTCCAGACACTAGACGGGGTTCGCGGAATCGGGTGAGGATGCAGCACGAGCATCACGAGAAGGCGTCGAGCCGCCAGCTGTCCACCTGGATTCCAGGCCGCACTGGCGGAGGAGCCAGCTCGACAGACTCTCGCTGCATGCGCTTCTCGCTGGGAGCTGAATTTTGGGCAACAGTGTGTGTTGAGAGTGAATTACTAGAAGCTCGTTTTCAGGCGTGAAGTGCGTTCCATGCAGAGCCCGGCAGAGCCTCACAGAGTCTCGCAGGGCACAGGAGAGGAACGCGATGGTGTCGATCAACAGCGCGCCGCGTCGGCGTCCGTGGTCCTGGGTGCGCGTGCGTCGTCGGGTGGTGGGTGGTCCCACTCCCGCACGAGACGGTGAGCCAGCCCACTGGGCCAGGGTGCGGCTGTAATTCCGTTTCTTCAGTGACTTCTCGCCAGCTCTGGTCATCGCCCGACGCTGCAGCAACCCCGGAAGTGCCAGCTACCTAGGTGTGAATGAGCAGGGTGAGCAGGGCTGTTTACAGAGCGAGGTAGCGTTTTCCGTTGGCGTGCTTCACAAGCGAGTCCCGCTGGACGAGCGGACATAGTTTTTTTCCACTCTCTCGCTCTCCTACTACCCGCAGCTTCCGAATCAGAGTTTCATTTCTCGTGACGCTGCAGGTTCGATTACCTTCAGTTTGTTGCTCGATTTTGTGTCTTTCGTACGGGGGGTGACGGGAAGCTACTGATTCTGAGCGGGAGGGAGTGCGAAGAAGCCAATCCAGCATGCCGACGATTCTTGCGGATGCCGCGTATCTCACCAAGATGGTGCGCTGCTGTGCCCGCTTCCGCTGCTGTGCCCGCTTCCGCTGCTGTGCCCCCTTCCGCTGCTGTGCCCCCTTCCGCTGCTGTGCCCGCTTCCGCTGCTGTGCCCCCTTCCGCTGCTCTCGTTTCATTTTTGGTTGACTTGATTCGTCCATGTTGCTTCCAGTGATCACCCCAAGCAGGTTCCGTCTCTTGCTCGACTTCTGCATTGAATGCTTGTCTGTGAGCAGTTCGCATCAGTGGTCGCGATTGGTTCAGCTGCCGTCTTCTCTCTGCCGTTTCTCCTGCCCACGGCCTTCGTGTTCTCGCCTCTCGTAGCGGTGATTGCTGCGTACGGCTATCTCAAGGTATGATTGTCAGAAGTTGGAGCTGCTTTTGATCAAGGTTTTTTTTAACAGGCATGTCGATATAATCACAGCTTTGATGTGATGTATATGGCGGCATGCAGCTTTAGTTCGGCATTGACCCTCAGTACCACTCTACCTTACTCTGTACTGCTCTCCACCACTCTCTCATCCCGCTGTACAGTCCCGCTCGCCACAGCAGAATTTCCTGCAGGGCCCCAGCAGCAACGCGGGTAGGAGGCCATGGCAGCCGTCCCCAGGTGTGCCACAGAAGCATCTCCAACCATCCGCAGGTGTGCCAGGAGCTGCTGGCATTGCAGCCCCCGAGCCTCTGCAACCGACACAAGTTGCCCGTCTGCCAGAACCTCCCAGCACCAGCATGGGCGTGCAGGGTCGGTCTGGCTTGCCTCCTGCAAGTGAGTCAGCAGCAGGCGGGGAAAGGGGACCGAGCAACAGGGCTGGTGGATTCGGAGAGTCTCAGGCAAGGGAAAGGACCAACCTGGATGTTGCTCGCCGATTCCCCCCTCCTCAACTTGCCCCTCGTCATGCAGCTTCCCATGTAGGCCCCTCTCATGCAGCCCCTTCTCAAGCTGCCTCTTCTCAAGCTGCCTCTTCTCAAACTGCCCCTCATCAAGCTGCTCCTCAACTTGCCGCTCCTCATGTGGCTCCGGCCCTCCCTACTTTCATTCGAGCTCGTCCCTCAAGCCCGGAGTCTGTGCATGTAGCAGGGTATCCTAAAGCTAGGGCAGTGGCTGGGCTGGGTAGCTTGGAAGGATCTGCAGTGGTGGCGGGAGCACCACGGCCGACGGTGAGAATGAGGGTTCAGGCGATTGACTATGGTGGGGCTGAGGAGGAGCCGGCTGGAGGGAGAGGGACAAGGGTGGGAGGATTAGAAGGGGTGGAGGAACAGCGGCAGGAGAGGGAGGAGGATGAGGGAGAAGAGGAGGAAGAGGGGCCAACACTGGTGCTTCATCACATTCCGAAGGTGAGTCGTTCATTGAAAAAACATCATGCTGGTGCCTATTTTTTGTTGCTGTGTGCCTGGCGTTTTTCAAGTTGGGATGTACCTGTCTATGAGTGTGTTTTTCACTGGTCCTGCTTCAAGTCAGGCTGATTCAAGCCTTGTTCTCGTGGTGCCCTTGTGTGCAGGAGTTGACTGGCGCCGCACGTGTCCGGGGGGGCCAAGCAGGCGTGGCAGGAGAGATTGGCGAGTCAGAGACGGCAGGAGAGACAGGTGCGACAGGTGGTGCAAGAGCAGAAGCGCCCGAAGCAAGCAAAGAGGAGATGACAGCAGGCGTGGCAGGGCAGGAAGGCGAGAAACCCGAGGCAGAGGTGGAGGAGAAGCGTGTGGTGGATGGGCAGGGTGGGGAGGGATCAGAGGAGGATCAATTGTTGATGGAGAAGGAAGTGCAAGAGGAGGGGGTGCGGGTTGCGAGTGAAATCAAAAAACTTGAGAAGGTGCTAGCTGGACGCACAATCCAGAGCCCTGGGTCTCCACGGGAGGAGGCTGAGCTGCTGTGTGGTCTTGTGGGGGTGACCCCCCCTCCTCCACTGTCCCCTCAGCCGAGGTTTCCCAGGCAGGCACGTGCGTCGAGGAAGCAGACTGTAGAAGGGCAGCTGTGGGAAGTGGGCCGTGCCAGCCAGCTGGTGGAAGCAACCAAGGAAGAGCTTGGTGTTGCATGAGGCAAGCTTGATTGGAGACATTTGTGTTTTGATGGTTACAGTGGTTTGGTGGGTTGTGAGAAAGGCTTTGATGTGGATGGTGTATGTCTAAGCGGTTTTTTTGGCAAAAGGTCATTATCGTCGTAGGTAGATTGAGCATGAAGGCATGAAGGCATCCTGGTAGAACTTTTATGGCATGTACTGTACAATACAGCATGTAACGTACAATGCAGCATTACTGGATACTTAGCGATTGCGATCATCTCGTCAAATTCTTTCTGGAATTGGAATTCCCGAGGCAGGAGAAAATTGGAATGAAGCAGGAGCCAGAAGATGTGAGCACAAACTAGGCAACCTTGGTAGTTCCCCACCGCATGGCCATTCCTAGGCAGCATACTTGTTAGTCCATACGACCATTCACTATCGTTCCTACGCTTGTAGAGGATGGATCGCGCTGTGGGCTCCCTAAGAGCGGTATGTCCTCCGTTGACCATCCCTTGGCTTGCTGGCGAATTCAGCCTCGCCTGCTCAATGTCGTCTAGCACTGCTGCCGTTGCCGTCGTCGCCCTCCCTGGGACTAAATCCATCATGCGAATCCCTCGCGAACGAAGCCAACAAAGGCAACGGCGAGTTTGTAGCGTCAATCCGCAATGGGGCGAATCGTTTGTCAAGCAGGGTTATGGCGTCGGGCGGAATTCGCCAGTTCGTGCTAAGAATCTCGCATCCGACCCATACGGTAGGAAGGTTAAGAGTGTGCTTTCCTTCGGTGTTGGTGCTCTATCTTATGCATAAAACTCAAGCAGGGTTATTGCTCCACCTTTCCCTCTCGTTCCATTACAATCAGCTGTATTGCGACTGGACCTGCTGTCAGGCGTCCTGACGTTACATTTCATGATGCGAGATGGCACGTCACATGGTCTGACACCATTGCACCGCATGACACGCGTGGATGACATGTACGACGTGGCATGGCATGCCGTTATGTCACAGAGTCTCACCTATGACATGGCATTGCATTCATGGAACTTCTATGGCACTCGCATGGCACTCGCATCGCACTCGCATCGCACTCGCATGGCACTCGCATGGCACTCGCATGGCACTCGCATCGCACTCGCATCGCACTCGCATGGCACTCGCATGGTGGCATGGCACTGGTTGCACCCATCAGTGTCATGCAGGGAGAACATGTTGGACCGGCATCTGCCTTACCGCACGGCACCACCCAGCGATATTTGAGTCACTTTTGAGACATCTCATAATTGATTGCACCCAACAGAGTCATGCAGAGAGATGTTGGACCGGCATCTGGCATTCCGCATGGCGGCACCCAGCGACCTTTGAGTCGACTCAAAAGTCACCTCTGATTGCACCCATCAGTGTCATGCAGGGAGGACATGCTGGATCGGCATCTCACATTCCGCAAGACTGCACCCAGCAATAATTGAGTCACTTTTGAGACATTTCATAATTGATTGCACCCATCAGTGTCATGCAGGGAGGACGTTTTGGACCGGCATCTGGAATTCCGCACGGCAGCACCCAGCGACCTGCAGCGCGTGCATTCCCTGGAAGAGGCAGGATACCCCACAGACGAAGCAGCCTCCCTCGACTCCCTCACCTACCGCATCCACCAAGGTGCCTCTACCCACCACAGTGCCATCCATTTTGCCATGCACACTTCGCTCTCCTCTCCACGCTGCTCTCGCCGAGGTGTTTGATCCAAGTTCTCTTTTACCAGTCTAATCTGGTTAAAATTCGGCCGTTCTTCAAGTCAAACCTTTTCTCGCACCCTCCTCTTCCCCACCCCCTCCCACCCCCCCTTTCCCTCCTCCTCCCCTGCCTCCTTCCCTCGTTTTCTTCCTCTTCAAACACCTTCCGATTTCGTTTAGTCACACCTGACAAGAGCTCATAGCGGTGCACTACACGTGGACTTTCCTCTCCCTCCCCTTCCTTGGCCTCCTTCGCAGCCAGCTCGGTGTTTCTGGTGGCGACACTTGGCAGCGAGCTAGTGGGCTTCGTGTGTGGCACTCAGACAGCCAAGGACGAGCTGGACCATGCCTCAATGTTCACCCATGACCCCCAAGGCAGTACGTGCATTATCCCTCACGCAGTACTCTTTTTTCCTTACCTCGTTTCCCTCGTCTCCTGGTTAGCTTGTGATGTGAGAGGCTCCTCAGTAAGAGCATTTCCGACATGCATTCTTCATGTTCGTTACTCCCGCTTGGCACTCATTGACCTCCGTTTGCCTGTGGAACATTTCCCACTTCACACACGATTTTGCACGATGCTTGTTTGCAGGGACCTTGTGCATTCATTCCGTGTGTGTGGGGCAAGAGTACCGTCGTCAGGGCATTGGTTTGCGTTTGTTGAAAGCCTACATCAAGCATGTTTCAACCATTGAACAACCGAGGCTGCACTCCATTCGACTATTATGCAAGAAGGTAAGAAAAACCTATGTTTCTTTTCGGATACCTGTGTGTTTAATTGAATTCCGTTATATTATTTGCACCTGCACTTCATCATTTCCATCGTTCTCTTATTTCCATAATTGAATGTGTGCAGACACTAATAGGTCTCTATGAAAAAGCCGGCTTCTGCCTGGTGGGTCCTTCAAGTGTAGTGCACGGAAGGGACCCGTGGTTTGAGTGCGTGCACATTATTCAACGACATTAATGTAAGTAGAGTAGGAAATAAGCTGCTAAATATTTGCTCAGTTTTGCTAACTCGTTTTCGGTTGTACAATTTCAGGTTCTGGGTTGCAGAAGGACGAAATTGCGCTTATCGAAATCGCAAATTCGAGCATGCGAGCGTGACCTCATTGACCACGCGGCGATTCGGTTTCACGATGGGCTTGCGATGGTTGCGGCAGTTCGCAACCGCAATTTCGCGGTTCGCCTTCGGGCCGCAATTCTATTCGCAGCGCAACCTCCGATCTGCGCCACACGGCATTTCGCATGCACCTCCTCTCACCAATTTCCTAATTTCCTGGGGAAATGATTTGTTCACATTCTCACCCACGGGGATTCTCGCTCCTTGTCCTAGTCCCCAGTCGAAGCGGTTGCATGTCTCTCAAGGCTTTCGGCACAAAGGCGATTCACGTAGCAACCGTCTTGTGCTGACTCCGTTCCATTCGTGCCGATCGACAGTTCACCATCTACATTCCATCGACAGGAATAGCGAGTAAGTCGACAGCCGTCACCTGGAGCTGCTTGTCGGCAAGCTGCTTCCTCCCAAACAACTCCCAGTCGACGAACAATCTCCAGCATACTCCGTCTTATTTCACTTCAGAAGCTCCGTTAATCGCGTTTTGACGTTGCTAAAGGATTTCACTCGCAGATGGACTTGGTGAAGCTGTTGAATTTGCTTCCATGGCAGCCATACTATCTCGCAAGCAAGGTCCTCGTTTCCGCCTCTGACACCATAGCAGCTACTTCTTTTCTCCTCTAACCACGATTAAACTCCTGTAACTACCCTCTTTAGGACATTTTTTTGCCTGTGCACAGCGACAATGACAGCAAGGAGCAGGCACCTCAACTCGCTCCTGCTGATGCTGCCACTGCTCGCCGTCGTATTAGCTGGTAAAACGCCCCGCGGCAGTGCGGAGCAGCTGCTGCAGCATGATCACAGCGGACTCGAACCCATGTCCACAGCGATCAAACTGCGGGGAGGAGTGGCGAGCAGCGGCCGGCTCCTAGCATCCTCAAATTCCCCAGCCGATGGATCTTCTGCAGATTCTTCCCCTTCCTCTCCATCTCCTCGAGATTCCCAATTGTCACCACCTTCTCGGCCCTCCGCCGCCGCGGCCATCGACTCCTTTTCCCGCTCTCCTTCCCGCTCCCCTTCCCGCTCCCCTTCCCCAGCCTCCCCCTGCTCCTCCCGCTGCCCCGGGGGCTCTGAGTTCGAGCCTGTCGCCTCGGGTCTGGTGGACGATCTCCTGGGCAAAGTGCTGGTTCTCCTGGACGACGTGCCAGACACAGACGCAGGCACAGACACAGACGCAGACACAGGCACAGACGCAGACACAGGCACAGACGCAGACACAGGCGGGGCTGCACGGGACGGGGCTGGCGGGAAGGGTGATAGACGGACTGGCGGTGGGGACAGTGGGGCTGGCGAGGAGAGTGGGGAGGACGAGGATGATAGGGAGCTTGGGAACGGGCGTGGTGGAGGTGATTTGGAGGGGGTGGAGGAGGAGACTGAGAGGGATAATAGTTGGGCGGACGAGTTGATGGGGCAGGGGCAGGGACAAGGGCAGGGGCAGGGACAAGGGAAGGGGCAGGGACAGGGGCAGGGGCAGGGGCAGGGACAGCGGCAGGGGCAGGGCAAAGGACGGGGGCAGGTGAAGAAGCGGAGTTGCAAATGCGTGGAGCCGTTCCACGTGTCGCTGCGGTTCTCCATCTGCTCCACCAACATCACCCTCTCGTCCCTCCTCAACCCCGCCCTCTCCTCCCCACCCGGCCGCCCTGCCCCAGTTCCTCCATCATCCCCTTCGTCGTCCGGTCCCCCACCCGTGCCTGACAGGCAGGCGGCAGACACTGGCACCTTCTTCCCGTGGTTCAAACCCAAAGGGCGCACAGACCCGCCCCGGTCACAGCTAGACGAGAACGACAATGATCAGAGCGTTTCTTATCAGAGCGACAGGCAGGGCAGGGCAGGGCAGCAAGGGGGTGATGCAGCAGGGCGGGGCAGTGCTCCCCCGGCAGCCATGCCCCTCGACCTACCAGAGCTTGAATCCCACTGCCTGCCGCTGCTGCCCCCCCCCTCCCCGCCCCTCGCCACTCCTCCCTCGCGAAACCCACCTGCCACTGAAGCATTGCGGAATGCGACAACAGCAGCAGTGGCGACGCTGTTCGCGCCGCCAGCCCTCGCCCGCTTCGCAGGTAGCCTCATGGTGCTGCTGGCGTGCAGCAACGCCGGCACCGCCGTGGCCGTCACTCCCGGCAACCTCACAAGCGTGGATCTCGCGATCTATCCCCGCCCCGGCTTCGAAAGTTTCCTACCCGAGGAGGAAGAGCAGCTCAAAACGCATCTGGAAGCCATCGGCCGGGGCGTGTTTAACCTGGATGTGGGGCCGCGGGGTGATGGCGTGGTGCGGAACGGTACTGGTGGGTATGGGAGAGGGGGAAAGGGTCAGGGAAGGGGGAGTGGCAGTAATGGTCGTGTTCTTCCCGGTTGTTCTTGGGCAGAGAAGATGCCCGTCGGCCCTTCTCTCTTTGGGGTGTTCTTTGAAGTGGCTGATGTTACGGTGCCCAACACAACCACCAGCAGCAGCAGCAACAACGTCACTGGCAACAACATTGCCGTTACCAACGACCCTGCTGCTGCTACAGCTGGAACATCCCCTGAGGACGGCTGGCCTGTCCCAAGTGCAGATTCTTTCAGTAGCAACGGCAGCAGCAGCGCCACGAGCACTGCTGATTCTACTGCTCCTGCTGGCCTCGCCACCCCTCTCATCGTAGCCATTGCTCTCGCTGCAGCTGCTGCTGCTGCCACTGCTGCCATTGCTGCTGTCCTGCTCTTCTGCCCCTCCTGCTGCTGCGGCGGCAGGAGGAAGCACCGCAGGAGTGACAGCGCGAGCAGCGGCAGTGGCAAGGGTGGGGGGAAGCTGTTTGCAGCGAATCTGCGGGTGTTTGGAGGGAAGGGGCTCGATGGAGGGATGGTGAAGCTGAATGGCTTCCGCAAGGCGCTTGGAAGCAAAGGTACGTCCCTCTTTGATGAGTTGGACCTTGAGTAAACTCAAAGATACCATATGCGGACTGACGATGGCAAATGGCTGTTGTATTAAAAGATCGCATGCTCGACCCGCACATGAAAAAATCATAACTTCCCTTTCTGTGCTGAAAACCACTGCTGAGCTTTTTAGATGTCACTCTTTGCCCCTCCCTCCACTTCAGATATCTTCGAATGTTCCACAGCCTTTCCTTATCCCCTCTTCTCCAATTCCTCCTCTTACTCTCCTGACTTCCTTCCTCCTCGTTCCTCCCATCTGGCAGCAATCCTTATCTCAGCCCATCCACACCTCCAACCTCGTACTTGCTATAGAAGCCCCCAACATCTTTCACATCCCAACCTCCCTTCTTCCTGCTTTTCCTAATGGCCTCTTAACCCTCCAATCTCCACGTGCTCACCTCCCAGCCTTTGCTCGCCTCGTCCCCGACCCAGAAGCCATCCTCGCTACAGGCGCACTCGACATAAGCTACACTGCCATCGAGGCCGCCACGCACCGCTTCAGCGAGAAGAACCTTCTGGGAAGGGGCACGTTCGGGCGTGTGTATAAAGCCACTCTACCCAATGGGCTGAGGCTCGCTATCAAGAGGCTCGACCTGTTCGTTGCTGGGGGGGATGTGGGGCGAGGAGGAGGAGGAGGGAGAGGGGGAGGAGGGAGTGGGGGCCAAGCAGGGGTGTCCAGGGAAGCTGCGAGGAAACTGTTCGTGCAGCAGGTGGGTGGTTTGTCTCTTGTGGTTGGTGCTGCGCTTGCGTGTTTTGTCTTGTGCTTGCTTTGAAACTCTCGCACATCACTACTCCCTGCCGCCCTTCTCCTGGCCTTCCCTCCTCCCACTCCATCGACCCCTGCCTCCTTCCTCGTGCCTCGTACCCTCACCCTCCCCTCAGGTGGAGGCGCTCTCTGTCATGCGCTGCCCCCACGTGGTGCCTCTGCTCGGCCACTCCACGAACGGCGTCAGTGCCGTGCTGGCATATGACTCGAGGGGCTCTCACTCATGCACTGCCCATGTGTTGGGTCTCAAAAGTTCTTCGTTGTTCCCGCACCCTCTTCCCCCTCCCTTCCCCTCCCCTTCCCCCACCCAAACAGGTGGAGGCGTTATCTCTCATGCGCTGTCCCCACGTGGTCCCACTGCTTGGCTACTCCACAGATGGCGTCAGTGCCGTTCTGGCATATGAGTTTGTGCCCAACGGCAGTTTGCACGACCACCTACATGGTACGTACTGCTCTGTGTGGTGGTGTGCGGTGCTGTGCTGCCCCCACGTGTTGCCATTGCTGGGCTACTCCATGGTCGAAGTCAGTGCCGTGCTGGCATATGAGTTTGTGCCCAACGGCAGCCTGCACGGCCACCTGCATGGCGTGCGGCGTTTTGCTGTGCACCCTGGCTGTTACACCCAGTGGCACCTATGCGTCTTACCTCCCTACTGCGGGTGTTGTCAGTGCTGTTCTGCCGTGCTGGCATATGAGTTTGTGCCCAATGGCAGCTTGCACGACCACCTGCATGGTACGCACTGTGTGGTGCGGCGCGGTACGCACTGGGTGGGCTGCACTGTGCTCTGCTTCCCTGGTGCTTCGTGCAAGGCAGCTACTCTTCCAAATGCTGACAGGTGTGCGATCGTCTCCGCCCCCTCGCCCATTCCCCCACTCCGCCCCATGATATGCGTGGCAAGTGCGGGGCGGCTGGTTTGGGCGCAATGGGTGAAGATCACAGTGGCATTGGCGAGGGTCCTGCAGAGCCGGCACCTGTGCCTCGTTCCCGTAAACGGGTCTGGCTGCATCAGGGAGCCTGCCGAGCCGGGACCCAGCCCACGTCTCCTCTGCCCCTCCTCCCCTCCACCCCATGGCAGGCTCGGGCCGGCTGGGCTGGGCACACCGAGTGGAGATCACCATGGCCATGGCAAGGGGCCTTTAGAGCCTGCACCAGCGCCTTGTGCCCACCGGATGGACACTAGGCACATCGGCTGGACTAGGCACATTGAAGAAGCTGCACCCATCTCACGCTCCCCCCTCTCTCCGTCCCTCCGTCCCTCTGCCCGTCCACCCCATGGCAGGCTCAGGGCGGCTGGACTGGGCGCACAGAGTGAAGATCGCCGTGGCGTAGCCAGAGGCCTGCAGAGCCTGCATCAGTGCCTCGTGCCCGTAAACGGCTCTGGCTGCATCAGGGAGCCTGCCGAGCCGGGACCCAGCCCACGTCTCCTCTGCCCCTCCTCCCCTCCACCCCATGGCAGGTTCGGGCCGGCTGGGCTGGGCACACCGAGTGGAGATCACCATGGCCGTGGCAAGGGGCCTGCGGAGCCTGCACCAGAGCCTTGTGCCCACCAGATGGACACTAGGCACATCGGCTGGACTAGGCACATTGAAGAAGCTGCACCCATCTCACGCTCCCCCCTCTCTCCGTCCCTCCGTCCCTCTGCCCGTCCACCCCATGGCAGGCTCAGGGCGGCTGGACTGGGCGCACAGAGTGAAGATCGCCGTGGCAGTAGCCAGAGGCCTGCAGAGCCTGCATCACCGCCTCGTGCCCATCGGCCCCGCCTCGCCCCTCTCCCACCCCCATGAAGCCACTGCCTCCCGGGACCCTTCCCACGTGCAGCACCCAGGAGCAGCAACCGGCCAATCAGCGTCATCTACCTCACCTTACACCACAAACCCCGACTACAGCTCCAATCCCACTGCCCGCCTCAACCCCACTAACGCCTCCTCTGACTCGCTACAGACTGGTGTTAACGGTACCAGTGCTGCCAACGGTGGCAGTGGTGCCTATGCCTCCCCCCACAGCTCCCTGCCGTCGTCCCTCAGCGGCTCCCCCCACAAGCTGGACACCCTGCAGGAGAGCCCGCTGGAGGGGGAAGGGGAGGGGGAGGGGGAGGGGTATGGGGAAGGGGAGGAGGAGTTTCTCGTTTCTGTGAGTCAGCGGGATGGGCTGAGTGACAGTGATAGCTACAGCAGCAGTGGGGAGTTTGAGAGCGGGATGGGGAGTGGTGTTGGTGGGGTGGGGATGGATGGGGAGGAGGGGGAGGGCGATGGCAGTGGGGGAAAGGAAGAGGTGGTGGTGAGGGACGGGCGGCGGTGGGTGCGGGCAGTGCATGCGAACCTCAAGAGCGCCAACGTGCTGCTTGACAACTCGGGGAACGCCAAGGTCAGTTGTTGAGTCATCTCAAAAGTGGGTGCGGGCGGTGGGTGTGAGTGGTAGGTGTGGGCGGTGGGTGCGGGCAGTGCATGCGAACCTCAAGAGCGCCAACGTGCTGCTTGATAAATCGGGCAACGCCAAGGTCAGCCCTCGTGTGGTAGCATGGAGGTAACCTCCCAACGTCCTGCTTGATAACTCTGAGAATGCCAAGGTGAGCACTCCCATTCTAGCCGTTTCAGAGTCCTGTGGTAGCAACGCGGCAAGGCAGTAAGGCTGGAAGGTGCCGCTTTCCCTTCGTCCTCCAAGTGTGAGTTTGTGATGTGTCCTGGCCAATTCACACCGTCTCAGGTGCTTGACCATCCCACACTTGCTGTGCTGCATCCCCCCGCTCCTGCAGCTCACGAATTACCCTCTCTCACTCGACCAGCCTAAGGGTGCACCTGGCCTGGTCCCACACTCAAACAACATGTTCCCTCTTCCCCTCTCCTTCTCCTCTCTCTCCTCCTCTTCCCCCACACTTTCTCCTTCCTCCTCCACCTCCACCTTCCCCTCCTCTTCCCCCACCCTCCCCGTCCTTCTCCTCCCCCTCCCCCTCACCCTCCCCCTTACCCTCGCCCTCATCCTCCGCCTCCCCCACAGGTGACGGACTATTGTCTCTCTCGGCTGGCGGAGGACGCTCTTCCCACCAGGCGGGCCGAAGAGCGTCTGACGCGTTCAGGTACCACACTCATCAACGCGTGTCCTCCTTCCCTCCCCCTCGCCCTGCCCCTCAACCTCCCCTTCCGTATGCCCCCCCGGCCCCCGTTGCAGGTGACGGACTACTGTCTCTCTCGCCTGGCGGAGGATGCTCTTCCCACCAGGCGGGGCGGCAGGGCCACGGGCACCTTTGGGTACCTCGCTCCAGAGTAGGTGCACATGAGCATGGGGCGGGTTGGGGGACGTGAGTAGTGCTTGAAAGGCATGGAGCTCGGAGCTAGGAGGGGGCATGAAGGCATGAGGCAAGGCAACGAAGCCAGTCAGTACTTTCAAGTAGCTCGCTCCGAAGTGAGAGTAGGCCGAGGGGTGAGCGACGCAGAAAGGGGAAGGATGCGAATGGTTGGCAAATTCATAGCGTTTGGCTCTGAGGAAATAGGGAAGGTGGTGAAGGGTTGTGGGGGGTGCCTTGCCTCAGAATGGGTGACCACTGGATTCGGTCAGTCTAAGGTGATTATGGTGGTTATGGGGTTTGCAGTAGCGCGGAGCTGTGCAAAGGCGGTGGTTGGCCTGGGTAAGATATTTGGAAGTATTATCTACTCACGCCTTGCCCTCTCTCTGCTTCTCATGCACGGTCTGCTGTGTGCGGTGCAGAGGGGTATTGTTCGGTGTGAACACGCAGCGCAGTGACGTGTACAGCTTTGGAGTGATCCTGCTGGAGCTCATCACGGGGCGGCGCCCCATCGACCTCTCTAAACGACCCGATGAACAATCTCTCGTCTCGTGGGTGGGTTCCTATTTCTCAATGAGTGCATCCCTATTCTTTTATAATTAGGTTCCGTTCTGTTGTGGTTTGGTTCTGAGTCTGCTTGCAATCTCTCAATTGTAAGCTGATTTAACAGGCTGCCAAGCACGCCCTTATCTATGGTTCCCTGTTGCCACCCCACACCAGGCTGTGCCGCTCATCGACAGGGATGAGACGCTTGCCATCGCTGACCCCGCCTTGCGGAACCGCTTTCCACCAACTAGCTTCCACCACCTGGCCACTGTTGCCGCCGTGTGCGTGCAATCCGAGCCGTCCTTCCGGCCAACAATGGCGCAGGTCCTTGGATCGCTGGTCCCTCTCATTGACCTTGCCGAACAGTGGAAGAGCCAGGGAAAGCCACATGCCGGGCCCCTCAAGTCTGCTTCTCCACCCTCATCCGGTTTGACTGAGAATGGTGAGCACGGCCTTGGCGGCTCACCCAGGCCATCGTTTCCTATGGCCAAGTGCCTGATTTGTCACGAGCATCCACGTAACACAACCGTGCAGCCATGCTTGCACAATGTTACGTGCGAGCAGTGTGCGTCGCTACTTGTGTCGCGGAAGAAGCAGTGCCCTCTGTGCCATCAGAAGATCGAGCGAGCTGTGACGAAGGGAGGAATGGTGTTTTCACGTAACTAGTATTACTAATATGCATCTGTAGATTATTTGGGTTAATCACAGACCGTTTGCTAAAAATCAAGTTCATGACCATCTGTTTCACTATGTAAGAGCAAGTTGCGAAGGTGTAATATTTCCTAAGTGTAGCTTCATATGTGATCGTGTCTGCGCCAGTCTTGGCGGCCCTGCTTGTCGTGAGGTACCCACTCGTTGTTATCGAGGCAACCAGAATGGCGGTTGATCTGGTCGGTTTGGGGCGCTGGCCAATCATATCTGTGCCGAGCCACCTCAGCGGAGGTGAGTTTGCTGGCTGGGGCGCGGCGTGTCAGGTCTCTAAGCGACCGTCAAAATGGCTGCACCTCGAGCGATGTCAGCCGCACACCAAGCACACGGCAGCCAGCGCCTTCCACTACTCCTCAGCTGACGATCTCCTGCGACACCATTCAGAAGCACGCAACCGATCGGAGTGTTCTCCCGCGCCTCAACGACATGGCTCACGTGTAGAAGCAGACGGACGGAACTTTCTGCTCCGTCAGTTTCTTGGGTCCCTCTTGTCCGTCGATTCCCGGACCTGAACCTTCCCGTGCTTGGTTCCCTTCGCCAGCCTGCCAGCCCTCGATAGTTCCCATTTTGCTGTTTTTGTGGTTCCAGCTCCTGCATTTCAAGACAACCTCCATTACAACACATACGATAGAAAGATAGTCCAGGCAGTCTCGAGGGTGGGGTTGCGGGTAGTCTTGAGATTTTTCACTTAAAGCTCGGGTCTCAAATTTCCAAAGGTTTAACACCTGGTTGGGTTTGCCCGTCCGTGATTGGGTAACGAATGACGAAAGTTTTTACGAGCGGGTGAAAAGAACACAGCGAACTCCCCAACAATCAAGGCCAAAACAAACCTGGGTGGGCAGGTTTGGGTGTAAGACGAGCCTTGGGGGACAGGTTTGCGTCTGATTGAGAACTATGCGACCCACCCTGGCGACGCAATCACGTTTTGAGGTTGACAGAAGTGTGAAGTCAGAAAATGAGTGCCCACGCCAAGCAACCATACTCCCGTCGCTGAGCCGTAGTAACACCGAAATAGAAAGCCAGCTAAGCATTATTTCCCCCGTTTACGATTAGTATGAGAGCATCTTCCTTGATCGGGAATGAGAGACGGGATGGGCGGATTTAGAGTGGAAAACGCGGATTGAGATTAGGAAGGGCAGATTGCGACTACTACGGGCGGAATGAGAGTAGGGATGTGCGGAATGAGTTTAGGGTTTGCGTAATGCGATTTGGAACGTCGAAAACAGGTAGGAAGGGCGGTGTGAGATGAAGAAGGGCGGATTGAGAGGCAGAAGGGCGGAATGAGAGGATGAAGGGCGCGATGAGAGAACGAGGGGCGGAATGCGAGGAAGAACGGCGGATGGAGAGGAAAAAGGACGGAAAGAGAGGACGAAGGGCGGAATGAGGAAGAAGGGCGGAATAAGAGGAAGAAGTGCGGAATGAGAGGAAGAAAGGCGGAATGAGAGGAAAAAGGGCGGTATGAGAGGAAGAAGGGCGGAATGAGAGGAACAAGGGCGGAACGAGATTAAGAAGGGAGGGATGACAGTAGGAAGGGCGGAATGAGAGTATGAAGAGCGGAATGAGATTGCGGATGGGCGAAATGCGAGTAGTTATGATGGAATGAGATTATGGAAGGGCGGAATGAGATTAGGGAAGCGCGGAATGAGATCAGGGATGGGCGGAAGGAGATTAGGGGTGGGCGGAATAAGGCGCGGGTTGATGGGGAGGGGGAATGGAGGGGGAGAGCAGGTGCTGCCCGAGGAGGGGGAAGAGAGACGTCGTCCCTTTTGACAGGGAGGTGAGTGCATGGGGGAGGGGATGTACTAGTGGTGAGGGTGGTGGGGAGGAGGAGGGGCAGGGGCTGTGGCATGTGGTGCGGGCATGCGGGGTGGAGTCAGCAGAGGGGCTGAGTGGCGTGGTGGACAAGTGGGGCTGGACCGCCATGCATGTGGCTGCTCGGAATGGTGACTCCCCCGTGGTCAGTCTCACCTGCCTCCCCGCCTGCACCCATGCAGCACAGCCATGCACCAGCTCTCACCCATGCAGCACAGCCATGCACCAGCTCTCACCCATGCAGCACAGCCATGCACCAGCTCTCACCCATGCAGCACAGCCATGCACCAGCTCTCACCCATGCAGCACAGCCATGCACCAGCTCTCACCCATGCAGCACAGCCATGCACCAGCTCTCACCCATGCAGCACAGCCATGCACCAGCTCTCACCCATGCAGCACAGCCATGCACCAGCTCTCACCCATGCAGCACAGCCATGCACCAGCTCTCACCCATGCAGCACAGCCATGCACCAGCTCTCACCCATGCAGCACAGCCATGCACCAGCTCTCACCCATGCAGCACAGCCATGCACCAGCTCTCACCCATGCAGCACAGCCATGCACCAGCTCTCACCCATGCAGCACAGCCATGCACCAGCTCTCACCCATGCAGCACAGCCATGCACCAGCTCTCACCCATGCAGCACAGCCATGCACCAGCTCTCACCCATGCAGCACAGCCATGCACCAGCTCTCACCCATGCAGCACAGCCATGCACCAGCTCTCACCCATGCAGCACAGCCATGCACCAGCTCTCACCCATGCAGCACAGCCATGCACCAGCTCTCACCCATGCAGCACAGCCATGCACCAGCTCTCACCCATGCAGCACAGCCATGCACCAGCTCTCACCCATGCAGCACAGCCATGCACCAGCTCTCACCCATGCAGCACAGCCATGCACCAGCTCTCACCCATGCAGCACAGCCATGCACCAGCTCTCACCCATGCAGCACAGCCATGCACCAGCTCTCACCCATGCAGCACAGCCATGCACCAGCTCTCACCCATGCAGCACAGCCATGCACCAGCTCTCACCCATGCAGCACAGCCATGCACCAGCTCTCACCCATGCAGCACAGCCATGCAGCCCGCTCAACACTCTCTGAACCCACCGTCCATCACGCGTGTGCACTCATCCCTCCCCGTCCACGTGCCTGCACTCACATGCACCTTCAATAATGTCGCAGGCATGGACCGCACTCACCCTGCTGCCCGCTTCTCTCCCTCCCCGCCGTTCTCCCATGCATGTGCCTGCAGCTGCAGGCGCTGTTGCGCATGGGCATGCCAGCGGGGGTGTGCAGCACGCGCAACGCCACCACGCCACTGCACGTGGCGGCGTATGGCGGCCACGTGGACTGCATGTGCCTGCTGGCGGCTGTGCGTGCCTGGCGGCTGTGAGTGCCTTGCGGCTGTGAGTGCCATGATTGGTTCAATGCAAGAACGGTAGAAAGTGCTTCGCTCGTTTCTTTCTCCACCCAGCTTCTTAGCCCTCTTGCCTTCATGCGCTCTACCCTGCGGTGCCCTCTGCACCCCGCTTGAATTGCTCTGGCTCTGCATCTGCTTCCAGAGCCGCTTTCCTCCTCTTTGTATCCCTCCGCCTTCTCTCATCCACCATCCGCCCCCCGCTCTCTGCCCTCCGCCCTCTGCCCTCCCCCAGGGACTCCATTACACAATGCAGTGACCAAGCAGCAGTGGGAGGCAGTGAGATGACTTGCACACCAGGGAATAGAGCCAGCAGAGGTAGAAGCAGCGGGGGCCAACCCCAAGGCGGTTCAGATAGTGTGGGAGGAGCATGCGCGGCGGGCAGGCCAAGGAGGGGAGAGGGGGCATGGGTTTTGGAAGGATGGTGGTGTGGGTGCGAGCTGAGTGGGTGAATTCCTTGTGCTTGATTATCACCATGATGTATGATTGCCTGCTGCCACTGCTTAGTGGCAGAACACAAGGAGGACAGGGTGCTGAGCAGTGGGAAGGGGCGGGAGGGGGGGGTTATAGAGCCGCTCCCAGGGCAGTGGGGAAGGTGAGAGGTGGGGATGAAGCAGGGTGGATGCTTCAGTAGCGCTTGTGGGCCACTCGCTGCTGCTCGCTGCCCGCCTCCTCGCCTCCACTTGATTACCCTCTGCCTTGATTCTGTGCTCTATTTCTGAGTGCTCATCTTGTCTCCCCTTTCCCCTCTCATCTCCACTCTACCCCATCCCTCTTCCTGCCCTCCTGTCCCCATCCTTCTCCCTCAGGAGAGCCGTACACCAACTGCACCGCTCTGAACCCATTTGTGCAGTGGAATCTGCAGCCGCTACTACCAGCCACTCCCCCCTCCTTCACCCTCACCTCACCACCCCCACCCGCCTTCACGCCGCCATACGCCCTCTCGTCCATCTGCTTGTGGACGTCCCTCTCCGCCATCGCACCTGGTCGCACACAAGCAACAGCCCTCCTGCCACTGCCGCCACACACAAAGCCTGCTGATGCAGATGCTGGCAGTGGAGGCGAGAAGGCAGTGGGGGGCGCAGTTGGTTCGAGTCAGGGCGTGCAGGGGGAGTGGGCAGTGGCGGGGTATGAGGCGATGCGTGTGGTGCAGGTGGGGGGTGGGTGGCGCCAGGGCAGCTATGGCCTGCCCTCCTCCCTCGCTGCCTCTGCTGCACCTGCTGTGTCTGGAAGGCAAGGTGACTTGTCTGGAAACCTTTGTTGCACTTCTTTGTAGTGATCAACTGAATGGCTCAGTTCAGTATCCTAAACACTGAAGTGATTTTTATAAAGAAGCATCCAACATTGATACATGTCATGGGTACTTGTCAAACCGGTACTATTTAATAGCTATAGCTTAACAAAATTCATGCGTGGCGGACCAGTTCTGACAAAATCCTGAGTGTCAAGGCTGAAGCAGCTGGAGAAGAGGGAGGCTGAAAAGGAGGGGAGGGAAAGGGGGAAATGAGGGGAAGGAGTGAGTAAATTGATGGGGAGCACAAGGGGAAATTATTTTATAGCAGAGGGGGTTCTGTATTGACCTGGTGCAGTAGGGGAATTGATGGGAAAGCAGAGCTGTAATTTATGGGGAGCGGAGGGGGGGATAACAGGGAGCAGAGGGGGGAATGAGAGGGAGCAGAGGGGGGAATGAGAGGGAGCAGAGGGGGGAATGAGAGGGAACAGGGGGGGGGGAATGACAGGGAGCAGAGGGGGGAATGAGAGGGAACAGGGGGGGGGGGATGATAGGGAGCAGAGGGGGGAATGAGAGGGAGCAGAGGGGGGAATGAGAGGGAGCGGAGGGGGGAATGAGAGGGAACAGGGGGGGGGGGGGGGATGATAGGGAGCAGAGGGGGAAATGAGAGGGAGCAGAGGGGGGAATGAGAGGGAGCAGAGGGGGGAATGAGAGGGAGCAGGGGGGGGGGAATGACAGGGAGCAGAGGGGGGAATGAGAGGGAGCGGAGGGGGGATTGGGGGGAAATTAGGGGAATTTATCGCAAACTGGTATATCACCCTTCCTTCCCCCCTCTGTCCTCTCCTCCTTCCCCCCCGCAGAACATGATTGCATACAACACACAAGAAACAGGTGGTGGTACGGTGTAAAGCATGGACTAGCTTTAGCTGCGCCTCAGCTTGCTCTTCTGCTTCACCACTGAAAATTAGGGGAGTGGAGTAGGCAGAAAGAATTGTGTGAATGAACATGGGGGAGGTGGTGTGAGGTGCCAAGGGAACAACTGCAAGGGAACACAAGCAAGCGCACATGATGAAATAATGTATGGGGAGACAGTGATGGGTGCACGTGCATGGGAACTAGAGGGTGGAAGGTGAGGAGTGAGGGGGAAGGGGAGGGCATGAAAAGGAAGGGAAGGGTTGAGAAGGGATGGGGAAGGAAAGCGCAGGGCAGGGAGGGAAAGGCAGGCATTGGGAGGGCAGGTGACAACTGGGCAGAGGGTGGGGGGAAGGAGAGTGCGAGTGGGAGAGGACGGAGAGAGAGAGTGCGGGAGGAAAGGAGAGTGAGAGTGCGGGTGCCAGGGGATGGGGGGAAGCAGGAAAGGGGATGGGGGGAAGCAGGGAAGGGGATGGGGGGAAGCTGGGAAGGGGATGGGGGGAAGAAGGGGAGGGGATGGGGGGAAGCAGGGAAGGGGATGGGGGGAAGCAGGGAAGGAGGGGTAGCACCGGGGGGAAAGGAGGAGAAGCAGGGGGGGATAGGAGGGGTAGCACCGGGTCTCCCCCCCTCTCAGCGCACCTTCTCCCCCCCTCTGTCCTCTCCTCCTCCCCCCTCTCAGCGCACCTTCTCCCCCCCTCTGTCCTCTCCTCCTCCCCCCTCTCATGTAGTGCTTGACATACCCGCACCATGCGCGATTACGTGACGAATGGCGCGTGAGATTACAGGCGCATTCGCGCTGATGCTAAAGAGGCGCCTCATGCCTATAGCGGGGCGAGCGCTGAGGCTCAGGTGGCGCGTGATGCCTACAGCGGGGCGCACTCAGCTGCTTGCGGTGTGCGCGCTGCTTACAGCTGGGTGCGCGCCCCTTGAAGGGAGGTGTGCGCGCGCTCACCGGCAGGGTACACACCTTTCCCGCGTCACTCGGCGGGCCTTAGTCCCGCGACTTCGGTGATATCGCCCCATTGCCGCGTTTGCCGCGTTTGGCTCGTCCCTATCGTCCTTTCCACCCTTCATGCTACTGCGACCTTCCCCTTTCACCTAATAAGGGCGGTTGATGAATGGCGATGAACCCCACGCCGGCAGTTTTTGGCGAGGAGAGGACGAATGTGGGGATTGGACACGCTAAATTTGATGATTTTCCCGTGTTCGGGCTTAGAGAATGCGGGTCACGGAATGCGCCAAGGTCTATAGGCGCACGGTTTCCCCTACATCATGATCGCGACTGAGTTTTCAAGGCTAGCTATACTAAAAGACGTGGCATATGGCTGGTAAAACACTTGAACTGGTGCCTACACGAACCGTTTTGTCAAAGTTGAGAGTTCTGAGTCTCATAATTCTGAGAGCTGTAAATGCTTGGTTTGCACGGGGAAGTGTGCGACGATGCCTCTGTTGTCGCACGTTTTTCTGTACACCTGTAGATTGGTTCGTGCAGGTGTGTTTCCCAACCTGCGTTGTCGTATTCCTGTCCCAACCAACTTTGCAACACGTTGTTTCCCTTTGGAGTTGGTTTTGCCTGGAACGAGGCCCTGTTTCAAACCTCTCCCAACCAACCTTCCCAAACCACCCCTTGCCTTGGTGTGCTTTGCGACAAACCCAGCTGTTACCGGATCCCAAGCGTTTAACACTTGGTCGGAAGGGTGAAATTTGAGACGCGAGCTTTAACTGTCCCTCGCCCGCCATTGTTTCCGCCTTGAATTAAACACGGTACTGTACTGGCGCTGAAGGCGGGCTCCTCTTCGCACTCGGACTAGCCGTTCCCAGCCTCCCAGTCACCGTTAACGATCAACGTTCTTTATCATCTCGGCAGTGACCACAAAGCGTTCCATCAGTATCGGGAATTTATCCAGTGTCGACAGATATTTTCCGAGCTGCTAGACTAGACAACGGGCGTGCCAGGATTACAGATGGTACTTCACCGGCCGAAACAGCACTGCAAGCAAGAGCTTCGAGAGCTCGACGTGTTGCCAGTCAGCACGTCGAAAAAGCACCACCACCACCACCATCATCACCACCACCACCATCACCATCACCACGAGCAACAGCAGCAACAGCAGTTACAGACTTACCGGCAGGGCTACGCAAACGAGGCGGCGGACGGTAACGATAACGGCGACGACGATCCGCTGCCGGTGGGGCTGGGCGCGCTGGACTGGGCGTTCAACATGCTCCGCTGGTGCCCCGCCAGCGACCTCGAGCTCCGATCGTGCGAGTGCCGATTGCTCTCGTTCGTTAGGTGTGATACCAGAACCTTGCTCGATAGGTGCGAGTACCAGGTTCTTGCTCGATAGGTGCGAGTACCAGGTTCTTGATCGATAGGTGCGAATCCAGCCTGGTGCCGCTCATCGGATGAGTCGTAGAAAAGCCTTTGCTTTTCGTTGTCCCACTTGCCTCTTTTCCTTTACCCCGCTTCCTCCTCCCCTCCCCCTCCCTTTCCCTCGCCTCGCCTCCTTGCTCCTTCCCTCCCTCGGTCCGCCTCTCCTCAGACACTGACATTATAAGCGAGGCAGGCCTCCTTTCTTCAGTCTCCCGTGGCATGCGAAGCGGGACATCCGCCATAGCTGTACCACGAGGTTTTCATGCTCCACTATAGTGCACATCTTTACCGAGTGTAGAGAAGACAAGCGGGTTACTGTACGCGTACTTCAACGTTTCCCCTTCTTTTCCACCCTCCCGCTCACCAACGCGTCGCGCAGGACTCCGCATCGCGTGATCCAAATAGACATCGGCCACCCGCCGGCCGTCCGCAAGAAATCCACCGTCTGGCCGTCAGAAAATCCGCTGGAAGACACGCTGTCATGGGGCTGGCAGAAGGCGGCGGAAACCGAAGGCGGAAGCGGCGGCGGTGGCGGCGGCGGCGGCGACGCGGCGGAGAACTGCTTCATCAACACGCTGGTGGTGGGGGCGACGACGTGTCGCGGCGACGGGCGCGGCGACGAGGAGGAGGTGAACGGGAAGCCGAACCTGGTGATGATCCACGGGTACGCCGCCGCGTTGGGGTTCTTCTTTCGTAACTACGACGCGCTCGCGGAGCACTTCAATGTCTACTCCATCGACCAGCTCGGGTGCGTGCGTGACTCTCGGGAGGAAGTGGCCAGCTGTGCGTGGAAGGAATCATTTTGCGTGTGGTTAGGGAGGGGAAACGGAGGGGAGAGGGGGAGCTGAGAGAGGGAGGATAGAGGGGGGGAGAGTGGAGAGGGGGAGCTAGGAGGAAGCAGATAGGCAGGAAGCGGAAGAGAGAATGTACGTTGGACGTGCGTAGGCAAGAAGGGTAACAGCGTGTAATGTACAGGGAAGGGCGTTGTGCGTGGTACAGGGAAGGGCGTTGTGCGTGGTACAGGGAAGGGCGTTGTGCGTGGTACAGGGAAGGGCGTTGTGCGTGATACAGGGAAGGGCGTTGTGCGTGGTACAGGGAAGGGCGTTGTGCGTGGTACAGGGAAGGGCGTTGTGCGTGGTACAGGGAAGGGCGTTGTGCGTGGTACAGGGAAGGGCGTTGTGCGTGGTACAGGGAAGGGCGTTGTGCGTGGTACAGGGAAGGGCGTTGTGCGTGGTACAGGGAAGGGCGTTGTGCGTGGTACAGGGAAGGGCGTTGTGCGTGGTACAGGGAAGGGCGTTGTGCGTGGTACAGGGAAGGGCGTTGTGCGTGGTACAGGGAAGGGCGTTGTGCGTGGTACAGGGAAGGGCGTTGTGCGTGGTACAGGGAAGGGCGTTGTGCGTGGTACAGGGAGGAGTGGGATGGAACAGGGCAGTGGCGAAGGATGAGGCATTTGCTGTCGCTAGCTAGCCCTTGCTGCTTGGCTTGATACGAACGAGCGATGCAATAAATCCAACACTCAAAGCACCTCTCCCATTTCCGTGTGGCTCCATGGCTTGGCATGGCAGGTGGGGAGCTTCCAGTCGCCCCACATTCACACCAGCTTCTCCTGAAGGTAAGGTACAATGTCAGTGAGGCGCACAACTTTTCTCCTTCTTCTGCGTCCAAACTGTTCGTCGAGGCGTTTCGTAGATGAGACATGTCAGATCGTTTGCGTTCCTGTGAGCTGCTCGTCTTGCACTCTTCTCCTCTTGATTGATTGTCTGCCACACATGGACACGCACTTGCGTTGGTTCATGCCACTCTCACTTGCACCCCTCACTCGCCCCCCACTCCCCTTCACTCGCCCAGCACACCCCCATCAGTCCTCCTGTCGTTTCCCCACACACGTCCCCCCTCTCTTCCCCCTCACTCCCCCTTCATTCCCCTCCTCACTTCTTCCTCACTCCCCCGTCACTCCCCCCTCACTCCCCTCTCACTCCCCCTCAACTCACCGCCCTGTGCACGCACCCACCAGAGGCGGAGACATGGTTCGTGGAGGCACTGGAGGCGTGGCGGAAGGAGATGGGGCTGCGGCGCCCCACACACCTCACTCCCTCCTCACCCCCCCTGCACATCTCCCTCACCCCCTTGTCTATGCGCGCCCCACCAGAGGCGGAGACATGGTTCGTGGAGGCACTGGAGGCGTGGCGCAAGGAGATGGGGCTGCGACGCTTCGTGCTGCTCGGCCACTCCTTTGGAGGCTTCGTCGCCTCTAGATATGCGCTCAAGGTGGGTGAAGGCGAGATACGCGCTCAAGGTGGGTGAAGGCGAGATACGCGCTCTCAAGGTGGGCAGAGAGCGCTGCTGAAAATTTTGTTTGTGCCTCCCTCCCTCCATGCACCCTCCCCCCATGCAACCCCACTTATGCTGCCTCCACCCATGCTCTATCCTCCCATGCTGCCTCCCCTCTGTGCCTCTCTTGCTGTCTCGCCTGCTGCTACCTCCCCCATGCTCCCCTCCCTGCCTCCCTTGCTGCCTCCCATCCTTGCCCCACCTCCCTCCCTGCCTCCCCTACTGCAGTACCCTTCAAGGGTGCGGCATCTGGTGCTGGTGGGCCCAGCGGGCTTCAGCCACGAGTCGGCCAAAATGCAGCACTTCCGCTCCACGTGGAAGGGCTTTGTCTTCCAGTGCTACTGGGACACCAACATCCCACCGCAGCAGTTCATTCGGTACGTTTCCTTCGCCAACAACTCATGCGGTGTGCACCGCCCCTCACAGCATGGTACTCAAACCACCTCGCCTGATAGGGCTTTGTCTTCCAGTGCTACTGGGACACCAACATCCCGCCCCAGCAATTCATTCGGTACACCACAACACCACCACCCCCACCCCCCTCTCTTCTCTAGTTTTTTTTTTTTTTTTTTTTTTTTTTTTTTTCAGGGAGAGAAATTTTGAAAAAAAAAAAGCAAGATTTTCACCTTGTTCCTATCCACCGTGGCCATCAGTGCCAAGTGGCCATCAGTGCCAAGTGGCCATCAGTGCCAAGTGGCTAGGTCTATTGAGTCGAGCCACTGTAACGATCGATTTAAAGCGACTAGGAGTCCACCTTTCCCCTTCCCGTTCCCCACAGGTGGCTGGGACCATGGAGTCGGGACATAGTGAAGACTGCCACAACACAGCGATGGTCCGACCTGCCACCACCACAAGAGAACATGACTCCCGAGCAAGTGGACGCCTTCTGTGGTACGTTAAAAGTATTAAAATATTAGCTGCTACCCCCTCTATAAAGGTATATTTTCCAAGAAAACTCGACCCTCTGAGCCAATTTGTTGTGCCTTGGGTGGTATGTACGGTTGTGAGACGCATTGCCCTTTTTCAGCTCATTGGCGACGAGAGGTGGATGGACCTGCTTTGGCGTGCACCCATGTACTGCTTCTCCTCTCCCTCCCCAACTCTCCTCCCCATCTCTCCACCGCCCGCCAGACCACATATACCAGACGCTATTAGCGCCCACGAGTGGCTTTTGAGGTGCCTCAGAAGCCACCCTCCCCCCCTCGCCCATCCCCCAGTCAGACTACATATACCAGACGCTATCAGCGCCCATGAGTGGCGAGCATTGCACCAGTCCATGATCTTCCTTCACGCCTTTCCCTCTTGTGCTGTTATTCCCCACTCTCACCCCAACCCCTCGTCCTCCATCCAACCCCCCTGTGCCGCAGACTACATATACCAGACGCTATCAGCGCCCATGAGTGGCGAGCAGTGCATGACGCTCATCTTCTCCCTGGGGGCCTTCGCTCGCCGTCCACTCATAGATAGGTGAGGGTAGAGAGAAGGAGGCGTTTGTTGCACCGACACATGGTTTCCTTCGTGAGGGTGGGGGGACCCTTGGTAGCTGTAGGTTGTTGCTGCGGGCTGGTTGCACAGCACAGCTGTCATTGCCAGCCAGAGTGCTCCGGATTGCGATTGCACGCTGGAATGGGTCTGCTCTTCTCGGATCGAGCTAGTGCTCCAGGCCACTGCTGCATGCCTGCCATGCTTGTCCCCTCTCTCTCTCCCTGATAGCATGGCGGTTTGCATGCTTGCTCATGTGCGTTTGCATGAATGGGTGCTCACATGTGTGTGTGTCTCTCTGCCCATGTGTGCTTGTGTCTCTCTGCCCATGTGTGCTTGTGTCTCTCTGCCCATGTGTGCTTGTGCAATGTCAATTGGTTTTCGCCGGTGCAGTGCGGTGCACTGGAAGGCGCCGACAACGTTCATCTACGGAGAGCAGGACATCATGGACCATCGGGCAGGGCTGGCAGCTGCCAAGCAGATGCCCGTGCCAGCAGAGGTGTTCAACGTGCGAGAGGTACGTGTGTGTGCATCTGTGTCGACATGGAGTCCACTTGGTTGTCTCAAACCAGTAAAATCAGACACTGGGACAGTCACATGAAGTAGACGATAAAGAAACCAAGGTTTCATAAAGGCATGCGAGAGGTACCCGTTCGAGAGCACATTACATGCCGTATTCTTTGTGTTCAAGTACTTGGCTCTTGTCGGTGGCTCTTAACACTCAACCTGCCATTTTCGCCTCTCCTCTCCACTATACCCTTGTGTTAATCTCCAGGTTGGCCATATGCTATTTTTGGAAAAGCCTACCATTTTCAGGGACGCCATCCTGTATGCGTGCCGAGACATTCTCCCTGCGAGCTGCTCCACAGTGGATGCGGCCTGGAAGCATGTGGAACCTCACCATATCCCCCTCACCACCTGCCACAAGATTCACCTGGATATGACATCAACGGTTCTGATCGCGCCTCAAGGGAACAGTGGTGTGAGAAGATTAGCCAGCGGCTGGGGGATTGGTTGAGGGGTGGGCAAGTGAAGGGTGTTTCTTCTGCTAACGCGGCTGCTTTGTCTTGGCTGATTGTTGAGTTGATATGATGTGTGTACATTCTGGTATTTAAGAAGTTGGTCTCAGGCTTTATATGACCTGTTTTTTCACTAATATACTCAGCACAGAGGGATGATGACATTCTGTATGAATTTGGTGTACCCTGTTCAACCTGTGTGCTACTAACGAAGTTGGGTTTTTCTCCTACCGCTGTGCTTCGCCTTTTGTCTCGTGTGCCCAAAACCCTCTCAAGCCAGCCACCAGTTTGTGGTCCCAGTTATCTCAACCACTCGTTCTGATTCAGTACAAGCTCATCCCGCTATAACAAGCGTCCATTTCGATAGTGGTGATGTGTGTTTCGCGCCCGTCTGACACGCCCAGGCAAACCCTAGGCGAGCAGATTCGAGTTGTCAAATTCAGATCACCAGACTCGAAGTTTGAACCCAGACTTCGACCTCTCGACTCTATCTGGTCGTCTGGAGCGATCACTTCGTAACTCACGTGTTTGTGAAATTGTGACTGCACGTTGTCGTAAGCTTGCATCCAGTCTCCGAGTCTCAGTAAGCAAGCACAGGTGTTCGCGTGAGGAGGGCCTGTCGCCATCACTCCATTACCTCCTGTCGCCTGTGACGCTGAGCAAAAAACGTCTTTCCAGTACCGCACGTGTTGATCCCCGAGTGGATCCGTCTCCTTGTCTCCTTCGAGCTTTACTTGAGCTGGTGTGCTGCTGTCGGCCGGGTTCTTCCGACTTGCAGTTTGTCATGACATTTCGCAATCGCCTTCCTAGTGTGAGGTAGGGCTGATTGGTTGTAAGGAGGGCCGACTGGTCGATGCAGCTTCCACCTTGGTTGCGATACGATCGCGAGCCCAGCAGATAGGCCCGCTCGATAATGTGGGATCGGCCATGGAGGGGAACAAAGACGAAGCCGACTTCTGAGTCGACCAAAACTGATTGCCAGCCGTTCAGATAGGCCCGTTCGATTGCCAGCCGTTCAGATAGGCCAGATAACCGTTCAGATGTTGGATCGGCCATGGAGGGGAACAAAGACGAAGCCGAGAAGGCGAAAGGCCTCGCCGAGACAAAGCTATTGGCGGGCGACGTCGCAGGAGCCCGGCGATTTTGGGAAAAGGCTCGTCGCATGTTCGCGACGCTCGACGGCCTTTCGCAGATGCAGGCCGTTCTCGACGTTCACGAAGCCGTCGCGAAGCGGTTACCCGGTGTCGGTCAAGGCGAGGTGGACTGGTACCTCGTTTTAGACGTTCCCGATTTCTGCGATGACGATGCGTTGATAAAGAAATCGTACCGAAAAAAGGCGTTGCTGCTGCATCCCGATAAGAACAAAGGCGCGGGGGCGGAGACCGCGTTTAAGTACGTCTCAGAGGCGTTCGGTTGCCTGTCCGACAAGGTCAAGAAGTCGCAGTTCGATCTTAGAAAGCGGGCCAGAGCAGCCATCGGGTCGCGCGCTGGCCACCACTCCGCCGCCGCCGCCGCCGCCGCCGCCGCGAGTCGGAACCACGCCGCGGCGAATCGGCAGCATGGGGGGAGCGGTCGGGGGCATGGAGCGGGAGGGGGAAGCACCGGCGCAAAAGCTGGCGCAGCGGCGGGCGGAGCGACAGCTCCGCAGTTTTACACGCGGTGCCACCATTGCTGCGCGAGCCTGCTGTGTAAGCAGGACTCGCGCGGGCAGATAGTGAAGTGCCTTCTTTGCGAAAAGATGTTTCTCGCGCTCGAAGTCGACCCACCCGCCAAGGCAAAGCCGGCTGCTGCCAGTGGCGCTCCTGCTGGTGGTAAGGGGCGCGGGCAGCAGAAACAGCAGGAGCAGCAGCAGCGACAGCAGCGGCATCAACAGCGGCAGCAACAGCGACAGCAGCAGCAACAGCAGCAACAGCAGCAACAGCAGCAGCAGCAGCAGCAGCAACAACAACAGCGGCAGCAGCCAGTGCCATTGCGGCCGGCCCCGCAGCCGCAGCCACCTCAACCGCAACAACCACCACCGCCGCCACCCCAGCAACAGCATCAACCGCAACCGCAGCCGCAGCCGCAGCCGCAGCCGCAGCCGCCGCCGCAGCAGCAGCAGCAGTATCAACAACCGTGGTGGCAACCGCAGGCGGGCGGGCAGCAGGGCACGGGGGTGCCGCAGACGGAGAGCGAGCGGGCGAGTTTCATGAAGAGCATGACGGAGAGCGAGCGCGCGGGTTTCATGAAGAACATGCACGCGCAGTTCTGCGCCGCCGGTATGATGGGGCGCGGGGGTGCCGGGGATCGATGGCAGCACCCGGCGCAACCCGCGCACCCGCCCCACGCGCCCAATGGCTTCTCTTCCGCAGGCGCCGCCGCCGCCGCCGCTGCCGCCGCCGCTGCCGCTGCAGCAGCAGGTGGTGCGGGTGGTGGTGGCACGGGAGGCACGGCGGCCGGGATTCCTGCGTTCGGCGTGCCTTCGTTTCCGAAGCCCCCAGCCTCGTTCGGGGGACAGCCGGCGGGTTTGAACCAACAGCAACAACAGCAACAGCAGCAACCACAGCAGCAGCCACAGCCGCAGCAACCCGGCCAGTCACAGCAGCAGCAGCAGCAGCAGCAGCAGCATTATCACAACCCGTTCTCCCAAGCTCCGGCCAGCCCCACACCAGACCACACCGCCCCACACCCTTCTCAACCCTTCGAGCAGCCGTCCCACGCGCAGCAGGCGCAGTCGCAGGCGCAGGGTAGCCTCTTCGAGCGGTTCTGCTCGCCAGGACCCGCGGCGACGGGGTTCCGGCAGGCGTTCGTGAACGACGTGTGGGGCAAGGTACAGCGGGAACGCATGGACGAGCAGGCGGAGGGGCGGCGCAGGGACCGCGAGCGCAAGGAGGCAGAGGTGGCGGAGCGGAAGCGCGTGGCCAAGGCGGCGAGGGAGGTGGAGAGGGAGAGGAAAAAGGCGGCTGCTGCTGAGAAGGCGGCGGCGGTTGCTGCGGCGGCTGTGGCGGCCATGGGGGCGGGCGCGGGGAGGGAAGGCGGAGGCGGACAGCCGAAGGGGAAAGCGGGTGAGGAGTTGGGTGGAGAGGGGATGGGCGCACCTGGTGGAAGGGCGGGAGGGGTGGAAGACGTGGGAGGAGAAGGGCGGAGCACGAGAAAGAGACAGAGGGGGAAGGAGGATGTGCTACCACACGATATGACTGCTGCTGTGCATGCTGCCATGGCTGCCGCGCGCGCTGCTCTTGGGACGGGCGGGATGGATGGGGTGGGGGAACGCAAAGGGCATGAGGCGGAGGAGGAGACGGAGGGGGCAGGGCGAAGGGCGAAGAGGACTCGCAGGGAGGAGGAACAGGCGACGGTTATCAATTTGGATTCAGATGGGCCAGCTGAAATGGAGGTGGATGTGATAGAGGTAGGCGGGGTGGCAGGCACAGCAGCAGCAGGGGCAACAGCAGCATCAGTAGCAGCAGCAGTCACAGTGGAGGTGGCAGCAGATGCAGCAGCAGGTGTGACAGCGGAGGTAGTTTCAGGCGCTGACGTGGCAGCAGCACCTGTTGCGAGCAGCGGGCGTGCCGCTACAGCTTTCCCTGGTACAGCGGGTACCACTACCACCACTGCCTTACCTGGCAGAGACACGAGGGCGGCCGCTCAGTCGCTGCGACAAGCGTCCCTCTTTGAAGTCATACGGGATACAGCCCAGGGGGCGAACCCTGCCTCCTCCTCTGCTCCTGCTCCCTCTTCTGCGCATGCTCCTCCACCGGCTGGTACCGCTGGTAACCGCTATAATGCTACAGCTGCAGCTGCGGTTCAGAATGGTCGGGCGACTGTGCTCGACCCTGCGGCACCAGCTGCAGCTGCGGCTGCTGCGGCTGCGGTGAGGAGCAAGGAGGCCAGTGGGGAGGGCGGGGGGACGACTTCTGCGGCTGCCACTGCTGCCAGGGGTGCTGCTAATGGTGTGAATGGGGTGGTGGATGAGAAGGGCGGGCAGAAAGAAGGGAAGTCGGAGGGGGATGAGGAGGAGGAGGGAATGGAAGTGGCGGATCCCGATTTCTACTGCTTTGACAACGACCGCGAGGAGGAGAGCATGCAAGAAGGGCAAGTACGTGGACGTGTGGACAATGGGAGTCACATAAGCGGCTGCCCCTCCACGCCATCCCTTCCCTCCCTCGCTCCCACTTGCCCTCCCCATTCCTCCCCCGCTTACCCGGCCTCTTATTCTCCTCACCTTCACCCTTCCTTTCCCCCCCTCCTCCTTCCTCCCCTTTTCTCCCTCCTGCTTCTTCCCCGTTTCTCCCTCCTCTTTCCTTCCCCCCCATCCCCCGCCTTCCTCCCCATCACTCGCCCTTCCATTCTCTTCCTCCCCTTTCCTTTCCCTTTCTCCCTCCTTCCCGTTCCTTCCCGTCCTTCCTCTTCCCCCTCCTCCCCTTCCACGCCTTCCTTCCTCCCCTCTTGCACAAGCTCGTTCGTTTTCAAGCTATGGAAACTGCACTGCAATTGAGACCCCTGGCTTCCATCTCCCTCCCTTCTTCCGCCCGCCTCCCCCCCTGCTTCTGCCCAAACCCCTCTCCCTCCTTGCGCCCACGCCACCCCCTTCCTCTTCCCTCTTTTCGCACATCGATCTCTCCCTGTTCAAGTCAAAGTCCCCCCAGACCTGTTTAATTTCTCCTGTTCTCAGAACCCACCCGTTCTCTCCCCTTCTCCCCCTCCTCACCCCCCCCCCCCCCCCCCCCCCCCCCCCTCCCTTTCCCTTGTGCCAGGTGTGGGCACTGTACGTCGATAGAAATGGCCTTCCACGTTTCTACGCGCTCGTGCAAAAAGTCTCCCACCGCCCCACCCCTCTTCCTCCCTCCCTCCCCTCCCCGCCCCACACCCTTTCACCAGGTATGGGCTCTATACGATGATCGGGACGGCCTTCCGCGTTTCTACGCGCTCGTGCAAAAGGTCTCCCACCGCCCCGCCTTCAAGTGCCGCCTGCAGTGGCTAACGCCCCTCCCATCCTCCTCCCGCCGCTCCGCCTCCTCCTCCCTCGTCCCCCCATGTGGGTGGTTCCGCCTGGTAACCCGGGCCAAGACAATGGATAGCATCAATGTCTTTTCGTGCCGCATGCCGGGGGTGAATCTTCACCCGAACTTTCCTCTGGCTGTCTTCCCGCAGCCGGGGCAGGTCTGGGCGGTGTTTACTGACCGGGTGCTGCTGCAGCAGCGGCGGAATGGGACAGGTTCGGGGGGAGGTTTGGGGGCAGGTTCGGGGGAGGGCTTGGAGAGGTATGATATGGTGCAGGTGGCTCGAGAAGGGGAGGTGAAAGGGGGGTTGGCAGCGGTGGTGGGAGCGGCGGGGTTGATTGGGTTGCCTGAGAGGCCGGAGGATGGGGTGAGAGGGCAGTTGGTGGTGTGGCCTCTGCGGCGCACGCAAGGATACACGAGCATCTTCCAGGTATTCCCCTGACCTGCCTCCCACCTCTCTGTTGTATTGGCAGCTGCGTCCCTCCTGCTGCTTCTGCTGCCGCTTCTGTTGCTGCTTCTATTGCTGTTCCTGCTGCCCATGCTCCTGCTGCTATGTCTTCAGTCTTTTTGAATGCTTGAAGCCTCATCTTTCCCACATTTTGATTTCTTTACCCCGTTTGCCTAAAGCACTGGCCCATTTACAAGGAGCCGCATGACAATACTTTAAAGTCCCTCTTTGTTTGCCTCCCGTTGTGACCATGGCAGCGCACGAGCGAGTGTCTGGCAGTGGACGTAACAGTCTTCTCTCACTTCGTCCCCACATACATCTGCAAGGGCAACGAGGCCAACTCCAAGGGACTCCCCTCCCCGCCTCGAGGAGCCATGGAGCTTGACCCTGCCGCCATCCCCCCTGTCATCTCACCCATTCACACTTAAAGACTCGCGTGACCTGATCTTTGAGTTGACATAAAAGGGCAACGAGGCCAACTCCAAGGGACTCCCCTCCCCGCCTCGAGGAGCCATGGAGCTTGACCCGGCCACCACCCCTCCTGTCATCTCACCCATTCACACTCTAAGACTAAGAAATTTCGCAGGCTCTCTCTTGAGGCCTGGTAACTGCCACTAAATTTTGTCCCTGTTTTTCGTGCTGGATACAGTCTTGTAAGTTACAGCAAGATTCTTTAATATAACCATGGTGATGTATTTTTGTCAATGATTTGAGATTTTCAACAAGTGCCTGTATAGTGACTTCGAAATTTGAGAGATTCGAATTAATCAAGAACTGATGTAGTACTGCACAGGTTCTCGTGCTAACGTATCATGCTACTATCGATTCCCTCAAGTCCACATCGAAGACCACGGAGCACCGCAACCGTATACTCCCTCACCAGCCCTCGCCGTGCCGCACCACGGCGCACCACAGCCAACCCACTCGCTCTGGTTTGGCGAGGCGGCTATGCTGGGCTCCCTGTTGCATGGGGGGAACTCGTTCTGGCTTCCAGCATACATACATGTTCATATGTTGTACTCACAACCTGCCATTGGCGAGTGCCTTACAAGGCGAACTCCTTTCGAGCCTCCACTACTAGTCCCCATGCCTGCACGAGAGCCTGACACGGAGCAATTTCCTCCCCTTCTCGTCCTTACCTCCATGCGACCTTCACGCGACATTCACGCGGTATCTGTTCTGTTCGACCCAGCCGAGACCACTTTCGAGTCCCCCCGCCAAGCCAGCAGGCCGCCATGTAAAAATTGCGGGTAGAGAGACGACTTATGAGGCGCCTCAAAGGTAGTCCCGCCAAGCCAGCAGGCAGCCAAGCAATCTTTCTTCAGCGTGCTGCCGGAACGCCATGGCAGCCATGCCGAACCCTAGCTGCGCTCGGGCCGCCATCGAGATGGCTTTCATGGGTCCGCTGAGGCGTGTGCGTGGGCCCTCCTACGCGCCGATCACGATTTTATTACCCTCCGACGCGAGATTGTGTAGATGCGCGCCAGGAAGCTCAGTTCCGTAAACCAGGGGAGTTGAGGCATCAGTTTGAGCCATCGATCAGATGGATTAAATGCAAGCCAGGAACCTCCCATGCAGTCGTCGCCGCGTGAGTCGCGGCGGTGGGGAGAACTCACGTGCATGCACTCGATTGTGAACCGCCGATTCGATTGGCTCGCTGGACACGAGGCGTCGCCTTCTCGTGCTCCGCTCGTGCGACTGCATTAATGAACTTTTCGAGCCTCAGCTACTGCGACACGTTCGCCGCGGCACGCGTAGCATGACTCTCACCCCGCGCGAGCTGATTCAGCATCCTCGCCGACTCGCCATATGGCGGTCGTTGCTGCATGATGCTAAGATGATGGCAGCGTGCTTATTATTCCTCATGTCGAAATGTTGTAGCCTTGGGCCTGGGATTGAGGCAGCATGAAAAGCGTTCTGATTTTTTGGCGCCTCAAAAATCACCTCAATGCTCGCAGCCTGACATGTCCATTCGCGCCGCTCCAGCGACGACGAATGGCGCCTCGAGCACAGCCTCGACGAGTCACCGTCGTTCTCTTCCCAGCTGCTGCTCCTCGCACCGCGTCTGACTGAACGACCGACTCGTTGACGGACGGACGCCGGGCCTCCGAATAAGACGCCTCCCATCGTCGTCCTTTGACGGCCTTGCGGTCTCCTTGTCTTGCGTCCATTTCTAACACCCTCTCTTGTCGTCCGTCTCCGGCGCGTTCTTATCAGAAGCAACTGCGTTCGCTCGCTCTGAGCAAGTCGAACTCATCGTACTGATAATCGTGATTCTTCCTTCCGTCGCCACCAACCAGCATGGGGAAGCTCACGGTTATGTTGGCGGTGCTGGCGGCGCTGCTGGTGGGCGCGTTTGCCGAGGAGCAGGAATTCCTTCCCGGGCAGCCCAAGGAGAAATTCCGGGGCACTGGAGGGCGCGTGGAGGTGTGGAGCGAAGATTTTAAGCAGCTGGAGGTGAGAGGGGGAACACATGCTGTTGGGCCATTTCCTCTGTTGCATTTCCTCTGTTGCCTCAGCCTGCGTTAATCGTAGGAAGGAAGCTTCCTGTTCGTTTCTCTTCTTATACTATTCCTCACAGGCGGCGGAAGTGGGAGCAGCCATGCTCACCATGGAAAGCCAGTCGTTCTGTGAGGCATCTAAAAATCAGATCTGACTTTTCCCCTACCCACCCAACTCCCACTCCTCCCGCATCTCCACAGGCGGCGGAAGTGGGGGCAGCCATGCTCACCGTGGAGAGCCAGTCGCTCGCGCTGCCCTCCTATGCTGATTCCGCTCAGGTCTGTGATGCATCCGGCCCCAACTCTCCTTCTGCTGCCCCCAACTCTCCTTCTGCTGCCCCCAACTCTCCTTCTGCTGCCCCCAACTCTCCTTCTGCTGCCCCCAACTCTCCTTCTGCTGCCCCCAACTCTCCTTCTGCTGCCCCCAACTCTCCTTCTGCTGCCCCCAACTCTCCTTCTGCTGCCCCCAACTCTCCTTCTGCTGCCCCCAACTCTCCTTCTGCTGCCCCCAACTCTCCTTCTACATTTCAGACTTTCCTTCGCTGTCATCTGCCCTCATACGCTCCAATTCGTGCTCTACACTGCATTCACTTTTGGGAATTCTCGTAAGTGATTTCAGCACTGCATTCTTCCACTCTCCGTTGTCTGTTGCTGTTCTTGTACGCTCCGCTCTCTGCCTGCGGTTTCTGGGAAGACTCGTGTTGGCCTTGATGGTCACTCCCCTTGGTCACTCCCGTGTGTTCCTATGTTGCATGTGTGATTTGCAACATGGCAGGTGGGCTATGTGCTGAACGGCGAGGCCATGGCAGGGCTTATCAGCCCTATGGGCGCTCCTACCACTGTCAGGTAACGCATGCTGCTTCTTGACTTGAAGGCACCTACCAGCAGCTACTGTTGCTGACGCACCTGAATTTTCCTGATTGCAAGCGCTATTGGACGCTCCTTTTGCTGCCTTCACTCGGAACGCAGTCCAACGCTCCTCGCCTTGTCATCTGCCCCTGTCCAGGCGTCTGAGGGAGGGCGATGCGTTTGTGGTGCCGAGGGGGTGGGCGCGGTGGGTGTGGAACAACGGGCAGCAGCCGCTGCGCATGGTCACTCTCGCTGACACCTCCAAGGGCCCTTGCCCCTGCCGCTACACGCCCTTCCACCTCATGGGCGCGCAGAAGGAGGGCTTTGGAGGCGTGCTGCATGGCTTCAGGTATGCATGCGTAATTAGTAGCATTGCCATCTCTTTATTTTTGGACTCTCTATTTTTTATGTCAGTCTGCGTGCTGATGTGTGTTGACCATCTTTTGCAACTATTAATCTCCTGGCTCTTGTCTGCTACAGCAAGGATCTGTTGGCACAGGCATGGGACGTGGAGGAGAAGGACGTGCAGCAGCTGCTGGAGGCACAAAAGGAAACGTCCTTCGCGAAGGTCACCCCTCAGCTCCAGGCAGAGCTGGAGAAGATGGTGAACTCGCTCGAGCAGGCAGAGGTGCTGGATGAGGAGGAGGAGATTGAGGAGAACGACCAGCCACACTTTGGCAAGGGGGCGAAGCGCAGTGTGAGCATCTTCGAGGATTTCACCTACAATCTGAAATCGCGCCAGCCGGACATCTACGTGAAGCGCGGCGGCACTGTGACCGCAGCCAATGGGTACAAGCTCCCCGCGTTCCGCAAAGTGGGCTTTGCAGTGGCGCGTTTTAGCATTGAGCCCAATGCGATGGCGGCGCCGCGGTGGCTGGCGAATGCAGCGTCCATGCACCTCATCACGCGCGGCAAGGGGCGTGTGGAGATCGCCTATCCTGACGGCAGGCAGGCGCTGCGGCATGACGTGAAGGAGGGGGACTTTGTGGTCGTGCCCGCTGGCTTTCCACATGCTGCAGTGAGTGCACATTCGCTTACCGGTTTCAGTTTGCCTTTTTCAAACTGTAAATCTCATCTGATGTCCCATTTTTTCCGCTGGTCTCCTCTCCTATCGTTTCTATGTGCAGCTGGCCTATGGGGAGGGACTGGAGTGCATCACCATGATTCCCAAGAGCCGACCGCAGGCGGGGTTCCTGGCGGGGGCGAACTCGGTGTTGCGCATGCTGCCTGCCTCCGTGCAGCGCGCTGCCTTCAATGCTGATGAGAAGCTGCTGGAGAAGCTGCGCGCCACCAGGCAGAGCGAGTTTGGCATCCTGCCGCCCAGGAAGAGCAAGGGAGAGGAGGAGGAAGGGGAAGAGATGCCTAAGCTCATTGAGCAGGTGGTGGGCTTTTGAGTGCCTTCGCTGCATTCTGTGGGTATGATTGGGTTTTACGTACCACTACAATGTAAATAGTGTGAGATGGTTGGTGTGCTTGTCTCGTGTGCTCTATATGTGATGTGTTCTTTCGAAGTCTTTGTTCTCAGCAAGCTGGACTCACTAAACAACACTTAAATCTTACAGATCAAAATAATATGGAATTATACTGGTATTATGATTAATTATTTCCTACAAGCCTGTTTGATTTGAGATGGAAGGTAGATTATGGCGAAGTAAACTTCGGTGAGGATGGCCGTGTCAGTTCAGCAGGGTTTCAGTCAGCAGCTGGATTTGTTCAAAGACGAACGCCCTGATAACCGTGCGAATTGATGCTGCGAATCGATCTGGTTTTCGTCGAGGTTCGTTCGTGCGAATTTATGCTGCGATAACCGTTTTGCCAGAGGCACACCAATAGACACCACCACGCAACAGCGCAACAGGCTTGTGGTATTTTCTAGGTTGCCTACAGATTAGTTGCTCGTAGAACCATCAAGCGACAGAGCGACATGCTCACAACCCGACCAGACAGCAACCTAACCGTCTGGAATGCTGGAAAGCCGTTGTTCAGTAGGGCAATCACCATGGCGTTCGCGATTCGACTGCTGCATGTCGTTAGACTCGCAGACAGCCGGTTAACTGTCCCCCAAGCTCGACCAAGGGACTGGGTGGTCAGAGGAGCTTCGACGAAATGGGAGCGTGGGTGATTCCGATCAGGCGAATCGCATGCAGTCGTTATGTTTAACCGTCGATAGATCCATTCAGAGCAACGTCGCTGCTGCGCAGGTTTCCACGCCCGTGTCGCTGTCGACTCCCATGGTCGTTGCGACTCAGATCGAGCCGCGGATCGAAATCTCTGCATCCCGACAGCACATCCGTCCGCAGGTTCTGAGCCTCGCGGCAGAGCCGTTGGAGCGCCGATTCGCAGGGCGGCTTGGCGCGCGTGTTCCGCGTGTTCTCGAGATCTTGAGCGTCGCAGATCTGGAGCCTCGCAGGTCCGCCGGAGCTATCCCTGCCGACCGACCATCGGCATGTCGTCCTCCGTGTCTCACGGCAGCTTGCAACGCGCAGCAGCGGCCGCTCAAAGCGGATGTTCTCAGCGGGAATGCCAAGCGGGCGCGAGGAGAGCAACAGGGTGGCAGTGGCGATGTGAGAGGAACGATTACTGCAGGCAGCATGGCAATCGACAGTGACCTTTGCCGTGCCGTCCTGAATGACCGCTCACCTCCTCCATTGCCGCTGCAGTGATGGCTCCTCAGCACCAACACCAGCAGCTGCAGGAAGGGCGATTCCTCCTCCATGCCAGAGGAGAGAAACCCTCCCTTAGCACCATCCACGCACCCCATTTCACGGTCTATCGGCACCTAGAAAACATCCATGATGGGCCGTCATGAAGTCATCAGCTCGCCCAGTGCCTATAAGTTATTCACTCGCCTCACCAAGCCTTTCGTGCCTCTCACTTCTCTCCTGCAATCTCCGCGCCTCTCCTCATGGCGACGGCTGGCATGCGCGTGCTGGTGCTGGCAACGCTGGCGGTGGGGCTGCTGGCGGCGGCAGTGAGTGGAGCGCGGGACGCCATGAAGGTAGCCAGGGGCCTCGTCCCAACGGAGGGGGGCGCGCCTGGCGGGGCGGGGGCGGCGGGGCAGCAGAGGAAGGGCGCGCGCATTCTGGCGGCTGAGACCTTCGCTCACCACGCCCCTCTGCCCGGCTACCTCGACCACATCCCCCGCCGCCAGGCCCTCGCTACCTGTACGCTACGCTGCTCCCTCATTTCACTCTCTTCTCTGCCTTGGTTCCTCAGCTCTGCTTTTCCCTTCTTCTCACTGCCCGTCCCTGCTCTCCTTGCCTCTCATTTCTCTGCTCTCCTTGCCTCTCATTTGTCTGCTCTCCTTACCTCTCATTTCTCTGCTCTCCTCGGCTCCCATTTTTCTGCTCACCTTGCCTCTCATTCTGCTGCTCCCCTTGGCTCGCGTTTCTCTGCCCCCCCTACCTCGTTTCTCTCGTGAAATACAGCATGGCGATGCATAGTGATAACTCTAACCTATTCCTCCCCCCCTCCCCCCTCCCCTCTTTTCCACATCTCCTCCCTGCTCTGCAGCGTGCGGGCGCACGACAGTGACGATCCGCTCGCAGTACCTGGGGCCGTACGACCTGCACAACGACATCTACAACATGACTTTCTACAACGGCTGCGCCTACAACGTCACCAGCCCGCTGCGCGTGTTTCAGTGCTTCAACTTCGGCAACGTGTGGGAGGGCATCCTCGACAACCCCGCGCCCAACCCCTCGCAGTACCAGCAAGGCGAAATCTTCGTGCAGACAACGCCGGGGTACTGTGAGATGCGCATGAACCGCGGTGCCAGCGGCACTCTGCAGATGCTCCCCGGGGAGACCGTCAACATTGTGTATGCGTACTTGTGGGACTTCAGGCCCTGCGTGCAGGAGCTGCGCTTCGGCAACGGCAACAGCTACTCCATGACCAACACCACCGAGTGCCAGCTCGCTGCTGTCATTTAGAGACTCTTCGTTGGCTCGCCCAGGTCATCTAGGCCTCCTCTATAGGGCGACTCACTACCGGCTTAGGGGACTTACAGGATATGAAGGGATGGGTGACACAGGAGAGGGAGAGGGTAATAATGCATGAATAGCATAGAGTTTTCATGTAAATGTTGTCAGTGAGTGTATTACTGCAATGAATATATATTCTTCACTCTGTAGTGAATTACTATGCCCAACACTTTTCAACAAGGGAATTGATCAGACTGGGGCCCCGGGTTAGCAGAAACAGTGCCAACTTGGGGCCTCGTGAGTCGCGACCCTACGAAATAGGCCCGAAGCAAATCACAAGCCAGGGCAGGGCAGCTAGTCCGAACCTGGCAAACACGCCAGGTCACCACCTACTGCCTTGGGTTTGACGGAAATCGCTAGCACCCCACATCGCTGGAAGCACAACAATCCGTCAACCCAACACGAAGTGTTTCTGCTTTTGAAAGTTTGCCAAACCCTGGTGTTTTCGCTAAGAGCAATTCGCACATCGAGAGTTTGACTTATGAGACCTCCCTCACAACCCTAAAACTGTCACACTTTAGTGTCTGCTTCTGCATCTTGCTGGAGAATAAGAACGTCACATTCTAGTCTAAGGTGAGGTCAGATCCTATGCATCTATGTATTCGCGACGATTTCCTCCTATCTTATATTATATTGTGAGAGCTTGCGAATTGCCTTGCAAATGCAACGTCTCATTTCAACTGGCAAGTACAAGATTTTATCGTCCAAGCATTATACAACACAATAGCATTGTGCATCTTATGCTAGGGTGGGAGGGCGGGAAACTTGAACTTAAGTTCGAAATGAAAAACGTGGGTGAAGGCCAAATGGCCTTCGCCCCCTCTTTTGTACCAAAAAGAGGGGAAGTAGCGGTTCGCCGAAGCCTTTGCTTCGGTACAATTTGCTTCGCTATTCACAATACACAATTTTAGAAAGTGTTTCACTTTCAAAAATTTACATATTGTGAGAGCTTGCGATTTGCCTTGCAAATGCAACGTCTCATTTCAACTGGGTCTTCTGAGACATGTGGAGAGGAGGTTGGCGGTGTCTCGTAATGGCGTGACGATGCTGTGAGGGGGAAGGTGCATGGGCTTCATCCTGGATGTCGCGAGAAGCTGCGATAAGGTGTTGCTGCGAGATAGTCACATATAGGTCCTTTGCGGTCTCGCTTCGCCAACGCCCAAGTCGTTTGAAGATGCGATCTGGGACTCCCGCACTAGCTGCAACCGTGGCAGCTCCTTTGCGAAAGGAGTGGGTGCCAAGGTGTGTTGGGTCGATTCCTGCGGCTTCGAACGCTTGCATACACCATGTACGGATGGTGGTGTACGATGGGGCAGTGTCTAATGCGGACGGCGGCGAGCTGCGGCGGAAAACGCGGATCAGCGGCCCTTTGGATGTCGGTCCGTATTCCGCTAGCCGAATGAAATGGCGGGTGCACCTCACCGGACAGAGTGGTCCGTCAGTTGTGGCGACTGGGACCCATACACCCCTGCCCTCTTGGTCGGTCTTTGAGTGTGGGATTAGTAGCCACATTGCCGTTGCCTCGAATTGGATGTCCTCCCATTGGATAGCCACTAAGTCCGAGAAGCGCAAGAATGCTGAGTACATGAGCAACACGATGAGGCCTTTCTGATATGTGCCTGGTTGGCTCGATTGGAGGAATGGCCTAGCCATCGCGTGAACCTGATGAAGGGAGACGAGTTCCTTCACCCGTGCTGGTCGGGGGCACTGTCTTTTGGCGTAATCGCGTACTTGTGTCGTGAACGGGCCGCATGTTGGGTTAGCGGAGCCTGTCATTCGGTGGGCGAAGCTAATCGCGGCACATGTGAGCTGCACGCTAGAGACGGTGGCCTTGTGGTTGATCGCATGCACCAGGTAGAGTGCGACTGTAAGGTCCGCGGTAGGCAGGAAGGCCGCTTTTGCCTTGACGCAAAAACTCCTAAACTTCTCCCAATAAGGTTCGTATGTGTTGATTGTTGAGTCGGACCGTGTCTCGGCCGTCATTAACAGTAGCTGCTGATGCAGCTTCGGAATCATATCTGACATCATTATGAAAAAAAAAAACAAATGTTCATAGATTAGGAATGGAAGTTAATTTGAAGTGCAAGGATTCTGCTAACAGGGAGACCGGCTCCTGAGAATGCGCCAGTATGCGAACCGACATGCAAGCACTGGCTACCACTAGCAAGATGCAAACACGATGTTACGCCGACTGCCCAGGTCCTGGGCGAAGGCCGGAGCAGGGGCCACCATGGAGCACCCGTCCATTCGGGAATGACTAGCGTCAGCGTCGCAGATGTGCGCGCGGCGTGGCGCAGGGTGTCCGGGATCAGGTGAGGAGGGGGAAATGCAAATCCGTGTTCTGGTCCCCAGTCCTGCGAGAAGGCGTTGACGGCGGTTGCACGTGGGTGGGGGACCTTCGAAAAGAAACGCGAGAGTTGCGCGTTATTGGCGTTTGCAAAAAGGTCAACCGTGTGTGGTCCCCAATGCCTCTCAAGTAATCGGAACCAAGGGAGTTTCAATGAATAGTCGTCGTTGTCTTCTAGCTTGGAGAGTACGTCTGCCTCTACGTTGAGAGTCCGAGGGATCCATTCGATAGCCGGCCGAATTTCGTTTGCCATGCAAAGTCCAATGTTGGACTTGCATAGGAGGGTGAGCTCGGGTTGCCCAGAACCACCTTTACGAAGAATGAAGAATACGCCCTGGTTGTCCACGCGCATGAGCACATGGCAGCCTTGAATTTGGTTTGAGAATGTGCGCAGGGCCCAGAGCACTCCTTCGAGCTCTCGGCGTGTACTCGAGGTGGTGAGGAGCTCGTGCGGCATTGGGCTGCTGCCTTGCAGGTTTTCTCCAGGGAACGAAGCTAGGGTCGCACCCCAACTGTGAGCACTTGCGTCTACATGAATCACCGTGTCGATGCTGTGGGGCATGTGAAACGGCGCCCCATTAAAACGATCGAAATTGTCGAGCCAGAAGTTGAGCTCGTCACGAGCCTCCAAGGTCAGGTGTGTTCTGCCATTCCATGATGGCGCAGTATTGATGAGTTCTAGGAGTTGGTGACTGAATGCTCGTGCCGTTGTGCCAAGAGCCAGCGCCATGGAAGCGAGGATGCCGGTGACCCGTGCGACAAGGCGGATTGGTATCCGTTGTCCACGCTCGTAGGCGGTGAGAAGCACCCGGAGCGTATGCATGAGTTGCGCTCGACGTTCCGGGCCGATGGTGAATCTTCCTGATTGAGTGTCCAACTCCATCCCGAGAAACTGCAGTTTCTGGGTCGGGGTGAGGTGCGATTTTTTAGCGTTGATGACAAGGCCCGACTGTCGTAGGTCCCGAATGATTGCATTACGTGTCGCGCGTGCGTTCTCCTTCGATTGGCAGAGGAATAAGATATCATCCACATATGGAATGACCCGAGTACCTTGCGCACGCCATTTTCGAGCCAGTTGTTTGATCAATTGAGTGAAAAGGAAGGGTGCGGTTGCAAGGCCGAACGGTAACGACTTGAAGTAGTAATCCGTGCCGTCGAAGTGAAACCCCAGGAACTTCCAGCAGGACGGGTGGATATCGACGTGATGGTATCCGGACTTCAGGTCGATGGAGAACATCCAGTCGCCCGGTTGTGCCAACTCGGCGACTCGCGCCAAGCCTTCGTACTTGAATTTAGGAATAACGAGGTACTGGTTGACTTTTCTCAAGTCCAAGATAAGGCGACACTTGCCGCGCTGTTCCACGACGTTTAGTGGACTAATACATGCGACGAGGAGTGGGCCCTCTGCGACTGCTGCTGCACCGGACGAGAGCAAGTCGGAGATTGCCGATCGTGTAAACTCGCTATGCCGCTCGACGCCGGCATGATTCTTGTTACGAAACGACGGTGGTGGGGCCGCTTTCCAAGGAAGCCAATATCCATTTGCTATGACTGACAGGATGAGACTGCTCTCGCACCATGAAGCCCACCAAGCGAAAGCTTGGCGCAATCGACCCCCCATGGTGGTGACTTCCTTGTCAGTGATCGCATGCTCCATGGTCTTACTCCATTCGCCCGGTCGTGAGGGACAAGCGCCTGCCATGGCGGTTGGGTTGGGTCAACAGTAGTCATATATCAACCCTTTTAGGTCAAGCCACAAGGCGCTATTCCAACGTGAACATGTTATGCGAGTAGAACGAGGAAGAGTTCATAAGAATCAATCAGACGAACGTTGTAAAAACGACATGAACATGTATCTCGCACCAACCAACTTCTCGCGTGCTTGTGCATGCCCCAACAGCGAGGCATTAGAAACGTTGGAGGTAAGAGCAGTGACGCAGTTGCACACAATGATGTTCTACCGAATCATTCCCCTTCTCCCTCTCTCTCGTGCCCACAATGATGTTTTTTTTTTTTTTTTTGCCATGTGTGCTAGGGGGTGTGAATTGCAGGGCCTCACTCCCCTTGTCCTTCTATCTCGAGGCGTGATGTAATGATTCTCGCACCATCGGTGCTTTGCCTCAATGGTTGTTGGTGAAAACATGTGTTCTTAAATCCCTTCCCTCTTTTTTTTTTTTTTTTTTTTTTTTTTTTGCCATGTCATGGCTTGGATAGGAACCATGCACCATAGGGGCCAGCGGCCTGGATCACACTTCCAATATAGCATTACAATTTCACGGCCACCCGGGCCACACACGTGCACACGCACACACACACACACACACACACACACACACACACATTTTTTTTTTTTTTTTTTTTTAAAATGGCCTAGAGCAATCCTTGCATCTAGCCTCGGCTAAACAGCCCACTCAAGGACCCCCTGGTCCTGCCCCGCCCTTCCACAACTCCTTTCCAAGGCACAAGGCGTGGGGCGCCTTGGGGCAATGAGAGGAGGGGTGGCAATGGATGTTCGGGCTTCGCTCACACCATCGGTGCGGGCCCATTGCCCCCATGGCCTCCATGGGGGCACGCGCTTGCCATGTGGCCGTGCTGGCCACAGCGGAAGCAGGTGCCTTTGAAGCCCCGGCAGCCACTTCCTCCTCCCATGCTCTTCGGCATGAACGCGGCGGGCTCACGAGAGAAAGAACGGTTCCCGCGGGGGAATCCGGTCTTCATGCGCTTGAGCGCCGCCATATCCGCCACCGCCATTTTGAAGGAGCGCGACGTCAGCACCGCTGTAGTCTTCAGCAGCTGGTAGCGTTCAGCCACGTCGAAGCCCGCGTGGTCGGCGATGACCAACACGTCGAAGCGGCGCTTGATGAGATCTTGAGCTTGGGCAACGGTTTTGAGTGCGCCGGTCGCGTCCCCACCGCGGATTTTGTGCTCCACGTGCGCGAGGTAAGTCTGGAGCGCTTCGAATACTTCCGCCTGGTCACGAACGCCCTTGCGGTTGAAGGCGGCGGCCGCGGTCGAAGGATGAGAAGAGGGGAGAGGGGGAAGGAGATCGTTAGACAAATGCGGAGAAGGATTATTTGGCTCCTCACCCTCGTCGCTGTCAGAGTCGGAATTGATGTCGACAGGGGCGGCCGGCTCTTCTTCGACAGCAGGCGCCTTTCCTTTGTCGGCGCGGGTGGGAGCGGCAACACGAGCGGATGTAGAGATGTTGTTGCGCACATTTGCAGTTTTAGCGGATGCGGAAATCTCCGCTTCGATTGTAGCTGCAGGCGTCGTTACAGCAGGGGCCGCGGCCTGCTTTTGAAGAAGCGCCAGCAGTGCCGTAAGTTGAGAGGGCGAGAGATTCGCTGCCGCCCCGTCTGACGCAGCAGAATCTGTCGCCCTGCGCTTGGGGCGCGCGCGAGATCCGCTCGGATCTGCGGCGGCGGCAGCAGGGGTGGCGACGAAGTCGCCATCATTGTTGCTGCCTGCAGGCCCTCGAGCCTGCGTGTGGCTCGCGCGTGGCTGGGACGGTCGCGCGACTGTTCCGCCCTCGCCGAGCAGCACGTCGACCCCCGTGTGGGTGCCTTCGGCGTGATTCTCGGCGGGGCGTTTCCTTTTCTCCGTGCTTGTTTCCCGAGGCGATTTTTCAAGCCCCGTCGACTGACGAGCGGGAGAGTCCTTAGCCCCGGGTGTATTATTGTTGGTCAGCACCATCGTCGATAAGTTCCGCTCGAGGATGTCGGAGAGGAGCGTTGACGGAGAAGTGAAGCGAGGGAGAGACTTGACCCTCGCCAGCTTGGACGAGAAATCTCGAAACTTGAACTTGAAAGTTCGAAATGAAAAACGTGGGTGAAGGCCAAATGGCCTTCGCCCCCTCTTTTGTACCAAAAAGAGGGGAAGTAGCGGTTCGCCGAAGCCTTTGCTTCGGTACAATTTGCTTCGCTATTCACAATACACAATTTTAGAAAGTGTTTCACTATAAAAAATTTACATTTAGTTAGTAAATCCATAAGTGGGCTTCATGTCATACCGCCTCAATGCTTTTGCGAAATCGATCATTCTTCCGCCCATGATTAGTTGTTTTTGTGTCACGTGGCATTAATAGTACTGTAATTCCTTATCATTTGTTTCTAGATCATTCTACAAACGACAACACAGTCCGAAGTTCCCCAACTCCTCTTTCTTTCCTTTTTTTTTTGTTTGGTTGATTATTCAATCTTCTTTTATTTTCTCTTCTTCATGAACCAGGTCAAGATGAACAACTCCTCGGTTGCTTTGGACTTCCCTGTGGGGAAGCGGTATGCTTCATCGGAAGATGCGAAACATGACATAAGATCGCAATGCGGGGCGACAAGGTGCGCTTTCAAGTTCGTTGCAAACAAACCTCATAGGGTGGAGGCACGGTGTCCATCTTTTGCGTATAGGAAGAAAGGAATGGCTGTTGTCAGTAATGAACCAGAAACGGAAGAACATTGCCCTTTCATGATCAGTGCTAGGTTGTGTGTAGATGGCTCGCTTCGAGTTGTCATGGCAAACCTGCAACATGGTGCGTACTGCACGGTACATCCCAAAGGAGCTTCACGAGCAGATCTAATTGATTTCGCAAATACTATTCCCAATGTGGCCTTAGATCCTAAAACGTTGGTCAAGGAAGTCCAGCAACGTACGGGTCAGGTCGTCCTACACGACTTCACGAAGAGCAATACACGACATCAAAATGGCGGACCCTCAGCAGAATGATATTTCATTTCAGTATGTAATGAGTATTCTTGAGGTTTTTGTGCGAGACAATCCTGGAAGTATTGTGTCGCTCTCCAAGCGCGATAACCGTTTCTACAGTGCATGCGCTATCCCGAGTGTAGCCCGTTCAACAATGTTGAACGCCATGCCGATACTAATCATCGACGGGTGCCACAACAAAACGGTGTGGGGGGGTCAGACGATTAACCTTGTTGTTTTGGATGGTGACGGTCACTATGTTTCAGTTGGAATTGCGTTCGTCGAGTCTGAGAGCAATGAGAGTTGCGCCCTTCCAATTCGACAGCTTTTGAAGGTGTTTCCCGAGCTCAATTCCCCGGAGTGGGTCATAAAGCATGACCGTGGTTCTGGCTGGAGTTCGTGTGCAGAGTTGCTTCAGCATGCACACGAGTCTCATTGCATTACCCACATTGGGCGAAACTTCACCAAGAAATTTGGGAAGGACATGAGTTCGTCCATTAAGGAGGCCGCTGAAACACTGAACATCGAGCTGTTTGAGTTTCGAATGGATAAAATAGAGAATGCATGTCCCGGTGGTAGGGCTTATCTTGCGGGGGAGAGAGGTGTGTTGCTCTCAAAGTGGGCAACCGTCCATTTCCCTAGGTCTAGGTTCGGGGTCCTCACGTCAAACCCCGTGGAGTCACAACATGCATCTATGCATCATTTGCGCGATAGAACCATTGCACAAGTGCTTCTTGGATGGATCGACACTCTACCAAAGATTAGGCGTCGTCGGTTCCTAGAATACTCTCAAATGTCTGGCTCGTGGACCAAGAATGCAACGGTGGTAATCTCAGCCAACAAGGATGACGCGTTAAGCTACGATGTGGAAAGCACTGGGACAACGACCTTTGCGGTTACCCACACCGGACGTCGGGAATCACGTGTGGTGGATCTCGGGGAGCGAGAATGCAGCTGCAACTATACGAAGTACGTACATGTGTACTCATGTGTATATGGTCGAGATCTTGCCAACCTCCGTTATTGTATTACGTGCATGCACCAAATTTGTAAGCTTGGGAATGTTTGTGCAAACTGGCGGAAATCTGAACATGTTTGAAGTATCTTTCCTTGTCTTTCAGCCCCCATCAAACTTAACTTCCCCCTCCTCCTTCCCCCTCCACCTTCCCCCTTCCACCTTCGCCTTTGTCCTAACCCTTCCTTCTCCCCCTTCGGCCTTCCCTGTCACCCCTCTACCATCTCCTTGCTACTGCAGGGAGTACGGGCTGCCATGTGTTCACATTTTTGCCGCAGCAGGGGAGAACAACCGCTTGCCTTTTGACATGGTTCATCGCGTGTTTCATCTCGATACCATGAAGGCCATGTATGGCGAGGACATGAAGCACATTGACCCAACATCCATCGTGCGAGATGGGGTTACTCTTCCACCCAAGTACAAGCGACGACCTGGAAGAAGAAAGAACAAACGGATGCGATCGGGTGGTGAAACCGATCCACAACGGATGCGGAGGTGCAGCAGGTGTAGGTTAAAGGGCCACAACATTAGCACGTGCGAGGACAGAGAGGAAGAGCGACTCGAGCAAAGATTTCAGAGAACACACCAGGAGCATCTTAGTTTTCAAACCACAACACTTTCTCGGATCTCCATCAACTATGTTCACTGTGAGGGATGTCAAACTCGACATAGGCTGAGGGGAGCTTGCCATGGGGAGCATGGGCATGTACAGCACCAAGGACAGCCAAAACAGCGAGAGGATGGGCACTGGCAAGGACAAGGGCAGCAACAAGGGGAAGGGGAGCAGCAAGGACAGAGACAGCAACAAGGGGAAGGGGAGCAGCAAGGACATTGGCAGCAGCAAGAGCAATGGCAGCAGCAAGGACGACTGCAGCAGCAGCAAGGGATTGGGCAGCAGCAAGGGACTGGGCAGCAGGGAGGGAATAGGCAGCAAGGGACTGGGCAGCAGCAAGGGATTGGGCAGCAGCAAGGGACTGGGCAGCAGGGAGGGAATAGGCAGCAAGGGACTGGGCAGCAGCAAGGGATTGGGCAGCAGCAAGGGACTGGGCAGCAGGGAGGGAATAGGCAGCAAGGGACTGGGCAGCAGCAAGGGATTGGGCAGCAGCAAGGGATTGGGCAGCAGCAAGGGACTGGGCAGCAGGGAGGGAATAGGCAGCGAGGGACTGGGCAGCAGCAAGGGACTGGGCAGCAGCAATGGACTGGGCAGCAGCAAGGGACCGGGCAGCATCAAGGGACTGGGCAGCAGGGAGGGAATAGGCAGCAAGGGACTGGGCAGCAGCAAGGGATTGGGCAGAAGCAAGGGACTGGGCAGCAGGGAGGGAATAGACAGCAAGGGACTGGGCAGCAGCAAGTGATTGGGCAGCAGCAAGGGACTGGGCAGCAGGGAGGGAATAGGCAGCGAGGGACTGGGCAGCAGCAAGGGACTGGGCAGCAGCAATGGACTGGGCAGCAGCAAGGGACTGGGCAGCATCAAGGGACTGGGCAGCAGGGAGGGAATAGGCAGCAAGGGACTGGGCAGCAGCAAGGGACTAGTTGGCATGAAGGGAGTGAGCAGCAGCAAGGGATTTGGCAGCAAGGGACTTGGCAGCAAGGGGCTGGGCAGCAGCAACGGATTGGGCAGCAGCAACGGATTGGGCAGCAGCAACGGATTGGGCAGCAGCAACGGATTGGGCAGCAGCAACCGGATGGACTGAGGCATCAACAATCTCAACGGAGTGGGCGGCAGGCATCTGGGCGGCGTACCACGGTTGAGTTGCAGGAGCAACGCTTAAACATTGAGCACGTTTGGGAGCATTGGGAAGGGGGCCCGCACATACAACAGGACGAGATGCAAGGTTGGAACGGGCAGTTGAGACACGGGCATCTTGTGGAACTGCAGACGCAAGTTCATCATCATGAACAGCAACTGCATGTAGAAGTGCAGGGGCAACAGAGGCACATACAAGTTCAGGAGGTTTATAGGGAAGGGCAGTTTCAAGAGCCTCAGCGGCATGGGCATGTTGAGCAGCCTCAAAGAGAAGGCCATGTACGGCAGCAGGGTCAGCATGCCTCACAACGTGGAAATACACCGCCACATGAGTGGATTGTACACATTAGAGATCTTCCAGAGGGCGCGGATGTGGACAGTGATTCATCATTCTCAGAGGAACCTGAGGCTGAAGATGAGATTACAGCTGATGACACTTCCGATAGCGGGAATTCTGATGACGGGGGGGATAGCAGTTCAAGCGGGTCGGAGACAGGAACTGAAGACCAGCTTAGGACTGAAGAGCAGACCATTGGTGATGGGGATTGGGAAGTTATGTCTTTGGGTGAGCCGGCCATACAGCTTGAAAGATGGCAGCAGAGTGTGAATCCAGAACAGAATGGCGGTGGAGAGGCTACTGTGGATGGAGAAGAAGGGATGAGCATGTTAGGTGAAGCCATGGTGGGAATCGAGAGGTCGGGTGGTATCATGTCGGCAAGGGCAGATGTAGGCTTAGGGGTTACTGGCTTGAACACCGCCGCAATGCAGCAGGGAATAGATGTTCCCAATCCCTTAGAGGGAGATGTGGTGGCACAAAACTGGGGTCATTTAAGGGTTAGAGGCCAAGATCTGTCACAAGAGGATGCGGTGGCGGCACGTCGTGTAAGAAGACGCCAACGACTACGATTGCAAACGGAAGTGGTACCCGAGGACGGTGAGGAGCCGGAGGATGATGAACTTAATGGAGCTGAACAGTTGACACGTTCACGAGTGGCTCGTCGTGGTAGGGGTCGGGGAGGCACCGAAATCAGAGCACAACAAACAGCACTTCAAGGGTCTAGGGTTCGCGGTACTGGACAAGGGCGCATGCAACAAAGGGTGCAGAATCGGCAGGGGGAATCGACGATTCACCACGAGAACCCAACAGAAACCTCTGATTTGCAGCAACAGATATACGTTCTACAAATGCAATTACTCCAGCAACAACAGGTTCAGAGCGTCTGGTGGCAGCAAATACAACAACAGCAACGCACGGCTACTTCGGGTGCAGCGGCATCGCATGTGCATCAAGCATATGAACTCCCGTTTCCTAATTCATTTCAGGGTCAACAACTGAGGACAGACCAAAGTCATCCCCTAATGCATCCAATGTAACACCACGCCATGGCTACCGGGGCTAACCAAGCCCCATTCCAGTTTTTGTCCGTCCCTGATAACGAACGAGCCAATGTTTTAATGGGACAGCGTTTGCGACGCCAAGAAAGACGGCATCTCCTGCAACTCAGTCGAGCAAGAAGACGGGATGATGTAGATCCGATCTGAGTGAGGAAGAGATAGACATTTTACCCCGGCATAAGCACTGCTATAGGTGAGAGTGTGCGTGATTATGCTGGAAGGGTCTGTATGGATTTGGATGGTGTGTTTCAAGTGGAGGGAAGGGAGGAGATTGTTTGTTGTGTACTGGGAACTTGAGGTCCATCCCTCAGCAGCACCCAAGAAGGAGCAGGTGGGGGTGAGACAATGTGAAGCAAGAAGAGGGGAGGGCAGAAGACAATGTGCCGTCTCGCCCCCTCCTCACCCCTCCCGTCCCGCTTTTTCCTTTTCGCAGACATTTGACTCGGAGCTCCAAACTTTAGAGAGCATGGCGGCCTCTGTGGCGGCTGTGGCTGGAGTAGACTTCAATTATCCCCCTTCCACCCCCACCCCTTCTGTTCTCTTCTCTTTGCTCGCAGTCATTTGACTCGGAGCTCCAAACTTTAGAGACCATGGCTGCCTCTGTGGCGGATGAGCTAGAATTCTTCCACGAGAGGTGAGAGGCAGCAACTCTAAACCCTATAACCCCTCATGATTATCTTTGCGCTGCGGCGCTGCTTCATACCCCCCCGAGAGGTGAGAGGCAACCCTCGCTTTACCATGCTGGTGATATATAACCTGCGTGTGATGCGTCGATGTTCTTGTCAACTCACAAATTGTCGTAGAGGCCGATTGTCTTACGGTATCACCATCTTGGTGATATGTTACTGCCATCTTGCTGTAGCCAGTGGTCAACGCGTCAGCCTTGCTTTGCCCTGCTCTTCCTCTTTACTTCACTTGACCTGCTTCCGTTGCTGTAATTTGAATTGCAGGGAAACGGAGCTGATGCAAATGGTCAGCGCGACGCACTTGAGAGTGGCGTGCACGAGTCTCACTCCTCTCCTCGCCTGCATTTCCCTGACAGCCAAGCCATGCCAACACTGTCATTGACACCCCATATTCACATCAAA